GGTAGGGAAAAAGTGGAGTGGAGGAGAGAGAATGATCCACAAAACCTCTTGCTGATTCGTATTCAAGAGACCCAGTTGCATAGTCCTGTATTTCTAACGATTAACTGGCTGAAATGTGAACGTACCCAGCGTCCACTAAAAACAGCTGAAATAGGAAATCAAAGTTGGAGACTAGCAACATCAGAGAAGTGAAGCAGTGCATACTTGACAACAGCAAGAATTGTTATAATTGACATTAATAGTTATTTGGGGCTAATTCACGCCCAAGACCTCAAATTGCAAAGCCTGCAGAGACAAAGGATCATGGAGAACACATCTGAAGTGCAGCATGTTCACAATTCTACACTTTATCTCTGCTCTGGGTTTGTTATCAAATACCCATTAAATACCCTTCCCACTAGAAACCTACTTTAACTTTTAAGTTCCCTAAAACCTCTCGTAGGTATAGCACAACACAGGATAAGTCACCCGTTCCTGAAAATGTCAGACTAAGTAACAAAGGAAAATATATAAACGAAGTAAATTTCCAAAGAAAAGACAGAAAAATGAGAGATACAAAAATATAAATACCTCTACAGATGCAAATACGTTGGTCAAATAAGAGTACAAACCACAAAGTCAGCTATATTTAGATAACAGAAAAAGGCTAAGAAAAGCTTTAGGACTGCAGGAAGAATAAAAGGAAGATTTTAGAGCAGAAAAGTCACCTACAAGTTTCGAGAGACACAACAAAGTTAAGCTGTTATAAGACTGTTACATGAGATGAACTACATTTCATTCTCTAAAACAATCCTTGCACAAAAGTCTATCCTAAAACTGCCATATTTTAATGGCATTGTGTTTAATACAGTATCACTGAAGAAGAGCTTATTTAAAAAACAGTTGTGAATAAAAGGTAATTAAAGAGAAATGTACTTTTGTGTATTTGAAAGACCTGATGATGTGTTCCATGTCTTCAAAAAGGCATCAAATTAAGTTTTATTCAGTAAGTATAAACTTACTGAATTACAAACCACAGCCATCCCTCTTCCCCCCTGCAAAGAGAGCTTTTAAAATACATTCCAGTTGGTTGGTTTTGCAAATTTGTAATTAAATCTTAACAAAAATTACATAAACTTAATGCTTTTAAAGTACAGTAAACAAAAAAAAAGTTTAGTTTATACTCCAGGAAAAGTTTCTACATGCTTAAAAAATACCACAAAGGGTAGGTAGGTATTTGATACCATAAGTAACGACTGTTCTCCTAGTTATATCCTAATTTTGGACCAAACAAAGCATAAAAGCCAGAGATGCTAAACTCAACTGCAGTACTGTTTGAGCAAATTCTGTCTGACCAACACAAGAACAGTTCCTAATACTTTTTGCTTCCCTGTGACCACAACATTGACAGGCTAGAGTCAAAGTCATGTGCTGAAAATGCAATTATATAGGCATCATCTGCTAGACTGCAAAATATGACAACTTGCAGAGGTCACTCCTGAACTAGGCTGTAACACATTGCATATAGTAACCATGCAGAATTAGGTCCTCCTAACAATTGGGTATCACCTATTTTGTGGCAGAACTATCACCTTCCACACACAAGAGGACTGCATGCCACCAAATAGCTACCAGAGCCCTGGAGACAAAGGTCTGTGCTTAAATATTGTGAAACCACTGTAGCACAGACACGTCGTGCTACCTGCCCTCTTTATCTCGCCTACATGGGTGACGTTGGCATAGAAAAACAGCACAACCTCTCGACAACACAACCAGCTTTCTGAAAGAAAGCCAAGTGGGACCATCAGGAAACAATCACAGCATCACTGGGGAAAACATGAGTACTAATATGCAAAAGATGCCAAGTTTCCATCAACATGCATGGTACAGTTGCATGTATGACAATTACACTTGATAAATCATTAAGCAGTGGCAATCTAGATGAAAAGATAATCTTCCACACCCACTGTTCCCATTGTACTTTTGCCAAAATATGGTGTTTCAGAATGAACACAAGATGATTTTATACTGCAGCACTATAATCTCTTTTACACTGTGTGCATGCATTTGTGTCTGTGCATTTGCCAAAAAAATACCTCAAGTACTAATGCTTTATTACTAGTGCAAATACGGAGCACGGCTTCAATTTGGACACCTGTGAATTCTAAAACTGCATTAAAATAATAAACACTGACAAATTACTATTTCAAGAAAAGTCTGCATTTCTTTTTCAATATGAAATACTTCAAAACGGTGAATACAGCGACCTAATAACTGCAACTTATCATGACAGGGAAGTCATCTAGTTTAATTCAGGAAGCCAAACTATTTCAGTTCGAAAAAGTTCCCGGAAATCAACTATTGCAGTTCCACACCACTTGTGCGTCTCTTCTTAAGAGCAGCAGAGTAAATGCTGTTAAAAAATACATAGGGAAAACCTAAATTCCTCGAATCAGCAAGCTGTTCCACACCTCAATTATTTCTTGGTTTAAATCTTCATGACACTGAAACTCTTACTTGGACCTAGCAAAAAGTAAACAGTCCCATTCCAGTCAACACTGTGAGTCTTTGTTACCCAAGGAAAAGATTCAAACTACCTGAACAACTTGTTTTTATTTTGAGTATTTAGGCTGCAGCTTCAGAGAGCCTCAAGTACTGGTAGAGTGTGGTTTCTGGCCCAAGGTTAGCCTCCTAGAGTACTTCATGTAAATCGGGATTAAACTGAAAATGTACATCTGCCTGCAGAAATAAAGCAGAGAGCTGTTCGTCTGAACCTTTTTGTCACTGATGTTTAGTTATACCTGGCTTTACTGGAGCTTCATACTCTCAAGAATATTCAAGTGGAATTAAAAGAATAGAAATATGAAATCAAAACACAATTAGGTCCACAGTTAAACTCATCTGAATCACAGAATCACAGAATTTCTAGGTTGGAAGAGACCTCAAGATCATCAAGTCCAACCTCTGACCTAACGCTAACAGTCCCCACTAAACCATATCCCTAAGCTCTACATCTAAACGTCTTTTGAAGACCTCCAGGGATGGTGACTCCACCACCTCCCTAGGCAGCCTGTTCCAATGTCTAACAACCCTTTCGGTAAAGAAAATGTGAAGAAGTGTATTAATTAATAGTTCTATTGTTCTCTATCATTCTGGGTTTATTACGTACAGCATTAATTTGTTTTCTACTTAACCATGATAAGTACCCAGGGGGAGGAAGCGTTTTTCTCTAGCATCACCTAGAAAGCTTTTTGCAGACCACATAACGCACAGCCCAAAAAGTCATTTCAGTTTAAAATTACTCACGTAGTGGGGGCCTAAGCGACCATTTTAAACAAAACGACTGCAACTTCTAATCTGACACTTCCAGGACTGGTGTTTGCACATAAAACGAGCACAGAGAGACAGCTCCTTACAGCAGCAAGCTTACGGCAAGCCTAAAACCGAACCGAGGCAATAGACTCGTCCGTACACGTGTGTGCGGCTGGCAAAGCGCTGCCTCCCCACAGGGCTGGCGAGCCGGCGGCCGCTGGCGGTGCGGAGTGCCACGTTCACGCCGAGCTGTGCTCCTGCTGCCAGCGGTCCCAACACAGCCAGGGGCTCCCTGCTCCAGCCGTACAGACAGACACGAGCCACACAGACACGGGGCAGGGCAGCACCGCCACACGGCGCGGAGCACAGCCGGGGGCAGCGGGCTCGGGGCGCTGCTGACAGGAGCCGGCAGGACGCACCGAGCCCAGCCCAGCTCCCCGCTGCGCGCCTCAGCCCGGCCCCCCCCCCTCACCTCAGAGAAGTTGACGGCCAGCGGGATGATGCCCGCCACATAGCAGGCCAGCAGCATGGCGAGGGACAGCAGGCAGATGGCAGGGAAGTCATCCATGGCGCCCGGCGGCGAGCTGCCCGCCTCAGCCCGGCTCCCCTCAGCCCAGCCCGGCTCCCCTCCGCCTCCCCTCGCCCCCCTCAGCCCCCGCGGCCGCCCCGGGCCCCGCAGCGGCCCCGTGCCATGGCCGCCCCCTCAGCCTGAGCGGCTCCGCGCCGCTTCCCCTTCCGGGCCTTCCCGGCTCCAAGATGGCGGCCGCCCGCCGCTGGGAGGCGGGAAAGCGCGGCTCCCTCATCAAAGATGGCGGCGCATCCCGCTTCGCCCCCCTTTCCCTCCAACGCGTCCCGCGCGGCGCCCTCAGCGCTTCGGCTTCAGAGGGCGCGCGTGCGCGGGGGGGCGCTCTAGCTCCCTCTCGCTGGTGCGGCCGCGGGGGGTTGTGGGGGATCGGCGGGCGCCTGGCGGTGGCGGAGCTGAGGAGCGGGAGCCGCGATGGTGAGCGGGGGGCTCCGGGGGGCGGTCAGGGGGGCTCGGGTGGGCCGCACCGGCACCGGGAGGGACCGGGGGGAGGCGGGGGGACACGGTAACGCCCGGGGGGGCCCGTCCCGGCAGCACGTGGCGGGGGGAGGCCGCGAGCGGGGGCCGGGGCCTGGCCCGGGGGTCGCCTCCCTGAGGGGTGCCGCGGAGCTGGCGGCCGCGGGCGGGGCCGGGCGGGGGCTTCGCGCCCCTAAAGGGGGAAAAAGTCGCCGAAATCGCCCCTCCTGCCCTGCACGGGGGGCTGGAGGGCCCCGAGTGTGCGGTGCGCTGCCTCGCCTGGCCAGGCGCCGTGCCCTCACAATGCCTCCGCCTCTCTCTCCCCTTTTTCCTTGCCCACGCTTGGGTCTCGGCTCGGCCCCGCAGCTGGCAGAAGGCTCCTCGGGCAGGGGCTGCCCGCGTCCTGCTCCTGGGGCTGCCAGCGCTGCCTCGACTGTTTCTGCGGGGCTATGTCTGCAATCGTGGACTCAGGGAGGTTTCTCAAGGGCGCTCTGGGAGTTGGAAATTGGAGGGATAGAAACCGGTGTGGGGCCTTACCGACAGCCAGCGCAACTGCCCTCCGAAAGAAAACACAAAAACACAACAGTGCAACACGAGAAAGAGTCTGTACAGGGCTCTTCCACATTACCTGCTCCCAAGGCGTGACATCTTCACTGTCTTCCCCTGTTTTGGTTTTCTTCTTCCTAACAATGAGATTTATACTCATAAAAAAAAACATTTTATTTACACTGATTTTTGTCCCATGTCATCTAGGCACATATTCAGCGGGGCAGGTAAAACTTCGAAGAAACCTCTCAGGCTTAGGAACTTGTCGCATCTCTGGTGGGAGAGGAGGAACAATTTTAGAAAATCGAGCTAAATTGGGATTGTTATTATTATTTTTTTGCCTTAAGGTAAAATAATGGGAAGTTCCTAAAGAAACTCTTCAGATGTAATGCATTAATCCTGCAATACAGGTGATCCCAGTGGCAGTAATTTTGGTAGACCAGTTAAAGTGGACAAAGATCTTAAAAGCCAATTTGTACAATATAAACATGAAAGAATTGATTCTTTTATTCTTTGCTTTACTTCAGAGCTTATAGTAGAAGCTGAGACATTAATACTTGTTAAAAGGAGAAATTTAGTTGGCAGTAACAGGATCAAAAGAAATACTAGCAGTAATTTAGACTTTTTTGATGTTACTGTAGTAGTTATTCTTGGAGGCTCACGATCTATTGGTGTTGCTTTTAGAAAAGCTGAATTATGCCCTTTTTTTTTTTGTACAAGGCAATTAATAATCTTCAGGCTGATATGGATATTGAAAAGTTTCTGAAGAGAAAAATGGTTTCAAGTCAGAAGTTCAAATAAATTCTCACTTGAAGTTCTGAAAGAACTGGCTTATGTGTCTGGCTCACTGATACTTTTTTCTGTAGTCTGAGTATTGGGATATCTATACTTTCTTAGGTTTTGTCAAAGTAAACCCTCTTTTTCTTCTAATATTACAGTTGAGTTTGAAAGTACAACGACCACAATTGCAGTTGCAGGGCATTCTGCTGCTAGAACACACAAGATTTTATCAAACACACTGAACTGGCCGACAGACCCCATTTTTTTATTATTAATAAGGGGTTCTTGCTCAGATGCTCCTGGGAGATCAGAGTTCCAAGTCCTGGAAGTGAGCCTGGTCGTAAGCAAATAAAAAGGACACTGCTGGAAGTAGTTGTGAATGGATTTGGCAGTCCTTTGACTCCCTGGTAAGGCGTGCCTGGGGCAGTGCAGCACCCTTAGGAGCAGCTGGGTACCAGCAGCCCTGGAGGCATCCCGTTTGCATCTAGTGTCCTCTGGTGTGCAGGGAAGCAGTCTTAGCAGGCTGGTCTCCTTCATATGATTTTCATAATAGCATGATAATACACTTCGGTATTTGTTTCCACTGTGTCTTACTCTGCAGTTCCCTGCATGAATTTTACAAGTCGAGTACTCACGTCATATATTAGCATTGAAAGTGCTGGATTAAATTAGCAGCACGGGCAATGCTGTTTTCTAGTGTGCTTGCAAACTTCCTATGATGTGTAACCTGTTAATTAGGTCACAGGCTGTGTACACTTAAAATCTTGTTTGTTTAAATTATTTGCTGCATCCAAGTGAAAAATATTACAGAAATAATGCAAGCCACAGACTGTACAATCATCAAAGCCTTCCCTGCAGAAGAGCGAGTTTACAGGCAGACATTTGGAACAGTTATCTGTGCCATAATTACCCTTTCAGTAGACTTGCTGAAGTGTTAAAAAAAAAAAAAAACAAGCACATCTGATTTGCAGGAAATAATCTTGAGTACCAAGTGCAGATTTGTTAAAGAATTTGTGTTATCTTGAAGCTGAATAACTCTAAATAGCTGTTTGTGTTTGGATCTTCAAGGTGAGACTGACAGTGATGCTAACTTGGACCCCATTTTTGTTTTCTAGCTGGGGTACTTAATTGATACTAACAGCTTGCCCTTGGACTAAAATAAGTAAATGCACAATGGGATAGCTTCTAGACGTTGACTGCATCACCTTGCTTTTCTGTTTAAGTAGAAACTACAATTTCCATGTTTGATTTCTTCAACACAATAGCTGCTTTACTGATGATTTTACATTACATATTTTTAAAAGTTTATGAGAATTGATAGAACTGATTGAAAACAAAAAGTAACACAGCTTATATGAAAAGTATTATTTGGAAAACGTCTGTGAACTTGATTGGTAGTTCCATGTTTAAAGCTGTACTAATTTTGCAAGTTACTTAGCCTGGTTAGTTTTGAGAAGACCATGCTATTTTACTCCTCTTAATTAACTTTTACATGCCAAAGATGTGTGGAAGCATCACAAAGTAACACTGGGAACAGCTGTGGTATGCTTCCCAGCTTGTGTAATGATTGGGTGGCCAAAAATATAATTACAGCTTATTTTTCATTCAAATCAGTAACTTTAATTTAAAAAAAAAAAAAAAGGTTTTGAAAAAATCTTGTTTTGTTTTTCAGTCTCACACAATTCTACTTGTTCAGCCTACCAAGAGGCCAGAAGGCAGAACATATGCTGATTATGAATCGGTGAATGAGTGCATGGAAGGTGGGTGCAGTCATTGTAGCTTAAAACTACTGTTAAAATCCTGGTTTTGACATTCTCATACGTCCTTGGTAAGAGTAAGCTGCTGTTCATGTTTTCCCAAGATAATTCGCCAAAAAAAAAAAAAAGTTAAAAAGGGTCTTATGTTTTTAATTTACTAGTGCTTTAGCAAACTATTTAATTATCCTTGTTTCTAAAACTTCCTTGTGACATTAAGTGTCTCCTTCTGGCTTAACTAGTTTGAACCATGTTCAATTCATGGAAGTAGGCAATATTCGTGGTGGGGCTGTGCAACAGACCAGGCTGAACAGATTTCACTGCACAATCAGATTCCAACCTTCTCACAAATTTTGGTGCTAACCATGTAAAGGAAAGATTGCTACTGGAAATAATATATAAAATAAAAGCATTTTTGTAGTTGAAATGTAGTTTGCAACCTGGTGGCTTCTGTGCCAGAAAAAAAAAAAAAGTTCTGTGTGACTTTAAGAGATGCAGTGAGTTGGAGAACAGATTGAAATACTACAGCTGTATAATTTAAATGTAAAAGTTCTCTTAGCATTAAAATCTAATTCCAGGAAGCTTTGCAAGACGAACAAAAGTACAGGAGAGATAATGTAAAACCCCCATGCTCGCTTTAATATTACATTCTTTTCAAATGTATCTGACTTATTTATGGGCTAGCTTAAGTAAAACTTATGTAAATGTACAGACTTGCTCTGTCACTCTTACCTCAGTCACTGTGTTTGACTATTTCATCAAGAATGACCTCTTCTGAGACTTGACCAGCTGTATTTAATAGGACTCCTCCTTTCTCAGGTGCTTGTATAGTAGAAATACATGTTGCAATTGCTGTTTAAAAGTTATTAGAGTTCCATATTTCATTTGGAACTTACTCCATAGAACATTATATCCACGACAGAACTAATTTTTTTTCCTTTAGATGATGATGCTCGTCATGCATCTTACCTAGTTCTATAGCATTGTGTTCAATGCAAATAGCTAAAACAAAAGCATTTCAACAACAGAGAATCTGAGTAAGTTCATATCTGTTTTCATGGTACTCACATCTAAACTTCCTTGGCATCTGGTTCAATATCTGAAAAAAAGTGCAGCAAATACAGATATTTTTCTTCTTTTCTCCAGTGCTGACATTATTGCATTATTCATCTGTTTTTTCCCCCCCCTCTCTAGGAGTCTGTAAAATGTATGAAGAGCATCTGAAGAGAATGAATCCCAACAGTCCATCCATTACATATGATATCAGCCAGTTGTTTGACTTCATTGATGACTTGGCAGACCTCAGCTGTCTTGTGTAAGTTCACTTGTACAAGTCTCTTTCAGTGACTCACAAAACTCTTCTGTATAAACTTTTACATGTTTTAGTCTGGCTAGTCTGTTTAATTTGCCTTTATGCAGTTGGTCTGATTCTTAAGGAGGCAGAATGATTAATGAATTTTATTCAGCTGTAGGATTTAACATCAGTATAGTGGTAGTCTATAGAAGTCACTTGCAACGGTTTACTTTGATTAAGACACAGCAAGATGGAATCTTCTGTAAATCCTAATTAAGTGACTGAGGAACCTATTAATCCTGTTGAGCCCCCTAGCTAGTGGGCTGAGTGCCCTTGTGAATATATCATCTCTGGTTCTCATTTGTGTGTTAAAGTCATGGGCAAGCAAAGGTGGTCTTGTGTGCTTTCCACTCTGACTGGACTGTGAAATCAAGTGTTAAATTTCAGTATTTAGAGTGCAGCTAACATTGTGACCCAACCAGTTAGATCCTGGCTGATTTCCATACCACACCTTTCAGAGTAATGGTTTGAGGTGATGGTGGCATTGAATTTCACAGAAATTATGTAGGAATATGGATACAAATTGCACATTCAGATAATCAAAAACACTTCAGTTTGCTCAACTCAGAATTCTCGGATCTCTTTTTAAGCCAGTGAGCATCTAGCGTGGACATTCCTGCAGCTGTACCGCTCAGTCTTAAATCCCAATGCAAGTACTGTGCAGCTGTACGGTAAGCAATCCGTGCCAGTTAATAAAGTTTAAAAAAACAGAACTTGTTGGATTGCTTTCCTTTGCATCTAGAAGTACATACGGAAACAGATTACGTTACTGATAGTGACTTAAACAAATGCCATTCACCAAAGATTTCAGTGGAATAAATAAAGTACTATTACAATTTCTGCGGTTACCTTGTTCTGCCATGTTAGGTCCCCTGGTGGCATCATACTAAGCTGATGTGGTTTGAAAGCCAAGCTTTGTTTTAGCGTATTTAACAGACTGAAGACTATTTGCTTTAAGAAGTAGCGACTGATTTCTAGTACAGTCTTTCATATTCTTTAATAAGGCTTGTAAACTTAGCGTCATGCTACTTCAGCTTAGAGTTTTCCACCAGATGGCACACGTAGCACATAACATACCCGACATGGCTTGTGCTCGTGGAGATCTGTAAAGTACTTGCTATCTGGTCTTGCAGTGTAGCATTATGAATGGATAGGGTAGAAGGGAGGGGAATAGATCAAACAATTCCCAAAACTAACATTTCTTATACTGTAATGAAATCGTTAATATGTTAGTATAGAATAAAACTCTTTCTATGGCTTTGAATTACTCGTGCTAGGTTTTAAATAAGGTTTCCTTATTTAAAGGAAATGTATGTTCAGGGTTTTGTTTTTTAGAGAAAGAATTGCAAATTGTTCTGGATTGAGTTAAACAACTGGATTTAAACTCAGCTGCTTATCAGTGACCTCCTTACTGTTCTTACCTGATACAAAATCGAGGAACTGGCTGGGACATTCACTGAAAATACCATCTTTATCCAAAAAAAAAAAAAAGTCACCTTTAAGGACTAAAAGGGGAAGGGACAGCATGAATATTCAGTTAGCTTTATATGCTTTGCTTCTATTTTTCAGTCTAATTCTGTTGCAGTTCAGCAGTGTCTTGAGTAACCCAAGTTCTTTAGCCCTGACAAGAAATCTTGCTAATGGTCTACTTCTATCACCTGTCCCTGAGTAGTAAAGAAAATTAACCTGTAGGTTCTTGTTTTCAGTTTGCTTATTATGAAGTGTCCTTGGTTAATAGATGCAAGCTTGCCCTTGCTGCTAGCTGGCAAGAATCATTTGTCATCCATCTATTAGCCTGCCTTTACTCCTGGAAAATTGTGCTTTTATTCATTCTATTAAAAAAAAAAAAAATCCAGGCTGAAGTGGAACACTTGAAAAATTACATGAACACTTGCTTGAAGTTAAACTGAGTGTTTGGCTCATTAAGACAAATTAAGTATGGTTTCCTGGTGGAACTATTCTTCTTAATTCTGAACTCCAGAATACTGAGGTGCTCTGTTTTCTTTCTCCCATAAGTAATTACATTCGTGAATTTAAATGCAAAGTGCAGTCTCTTAGTCTTTAGAGTTCCTAGTTGTTCCAGCTTCTTACTGATCTGCTGGGTAACTTGTGAGGGTTTTTTTTTTTTTTAGGAAACAGAACAAATCTTTTAAATGGCAATTTCCATTCACTTTTGATATTACTCATGTTCTGTATACAACTTTCTGCCTTGTACGCTAGAGGACACTTAATTGTTTGTGAAGTCTTTGTAGTAAGCGTTCCGTGGGACAGATCAATATTACATGAGTCCTTTTCTTTTTTCTAGTTACCGTGCTGACACTCAGACATACCAGCCGTACAATAAAGACTGGATAAAGGAGAAGATCTACGTCCTCCTCCGCAGGCAGGCCCAGCAAGCAAGCAAATAATGGGGACACCATCCTTACGTGGGGCTGGGGGAGGGCTTGGACAACAGGTGTGTACAGAGTGTAGTAGTGAAAGTTTTGTATTATAGTCATCCTGTTGCCATCTTGTTCAACTCTTTAGTCGGGACTGAATGTATTGTTAGAGATGCAAGGATTTTGTTGGGTTGACTTTTTTTTTCAGTGTAAATGGGGAAGAAACTGCAACATCTTCAGCAGAGTTTTAATTTTTTTTTTCCCGCTGGTTAGCTAATGGTTTTACCTTATTTGAACCCCTGGGGCTGTTCACATTGTACTTCACCACATCCACTGTATGTGCCCTTCCGTGGGGTTTCCAACATTTAGTTTTGTCCTTGAGGCGGTCTTAATGGGGAATAAAAAAAACTACCCTTTAGTTAAATTTGAGTGCTGAATTTTGTGTTTTTTCATGCTAAACAATGAACTAAATCTTTCTTGTCCATTTGCTGAAGAATGGGGTTCGAAATCATGTATGGATTGAACACCATGGTTACTTGCTGTATTACAAGGTGGGTCACATTCTGGCCTTCGAAATTAACTTCTCTCTGAGTCTATATTTGGCTGTCTTTCCTGGGCATCTTTGGGAAGCATAGCAACCCTCTTGTTCTTGCACTCTAAACTTGATCTTTCTTAGAAGGCATTTATATTCAGGTAAGTGTGTCTGCTTGCTAGGACAGATGATGGCTAAGAGCAGGCTGATGTATCGCATCACAGACCCCATAAATAATTCTACTTCCAAGCTTCCCCTGAGAAAGGAATGGGCAAAGTGAATTATTCTGATGTGAATCTTGCCCAAACCGTGTTCCCTCTTTACAAAGGATAAGGACCTATCTGCTTGCATGTTCTGTAGAACAATACCCTTCCCCCTGCCTAAAACAGATGCTGCAGTGTTTGTAATCTTGCTATACTGAAAAAAATAGTGCTGGAGGATATATTGGACCAAATAACAGCAGGTAGAAGAGCAAGGCTAGGCTGGTACTTTGTGCCTTTGTGTTATCCCAGAGTCCCTCCACTGTGGGTACAGATTGGAATCAGACTCTCCAGGTATGCCCCGCCAGGAGCAGTTCTAGGGTTAATGGAAGAACATCTCCAGTGTGCTTAACTTCCTGAAACACATGAATATTTTCCAATAGACTTTACAGCAAATGCATTGGCTTAAAAGAACATGAGTTTAAATGGACTGTGTATAGTAAAGCTTTAATGAAAATAGCTTCACTTAAGTGATAAGTGAGTGCTGCTGAAGACTTGGAATCAAATTACAGGAGAGAGAAAAATTCTTAGACATATCCAAGGGGAATGTTAAAGCTTTTTCCAACATGAGTACAAATTGGAGAGTAAAGCTACTAGTTCTATGATTGTAGCAATAAGGAATCGATTCAGTCTGCTAACCTCAAAACAGATTTTTCAAAGCAGGGCAGGTTGAAGTGTATCAACACATGATTACTTATATCTGGAAGTATTTCTGCATGGAAGCTTGCTTTTATATCCAAATGCAGCTTAAAACAAAAATAATTCACTAACTGTTGCCCCATATAGTGACATTCAAATTAATATAAGCAGTGTTATTCAAGCATCTTGTATAGTTTATCCTCCTATTTAGGAAGTACTAAAATAGCACGTTCTTTCCTAAAATATTTGGGTTTTATTACTGGTAAATACTTCATTAAAACTCCACTATTCTCACAGTGAACCAGTCTAGTGCATATTCCTTTAAGGTGCTAAGCAGGATGCAATTCTGCCATCTTTAAGTGAAGTCAAAAATCCCTTCTCGCTTTCTGCACACTAAAAGTGAGTGATCAAGTATTTTTATCATTTTGTGAGCATGTTTTTACTTTAAGGAAAAGAAAAAAAACCCGGCATGTGGGCACTTTCCTGATTTTGAAAAGTACAAGGATTGTGCAGAATCTATAGCAGTCTGGGGCTTGGAACATAACATCTCTCTTCCTTCAAAGATAACCTGAAGTTTAGTCTGATTTAAAAAAAAGTTTTTGACTGTGATGTAACTGCACAAACTAAGGCTGGTTAACAAGTACAGAGGTTCTCATGTCAGAGCAGAAACTGGGAAGATGGTACTTTAAAGCAGGTAGCACTAAGTTTCTCCTTTATGAAGGGGACTTTATGAAGGTATGGGGTTTTTTAGAACGTAGAAGGCAAACAAACTTTTAACTTCTTGAGGTTAATTCACAAGAACGTTTTTGCACTTAAACTTCTGGTTATCTCCGTAATTGAAGTTTAGCAGAACTGGAAAATGTAAGTAAAGTTCCTTTTATACCTGTGGAGCCAGACTCAGCCTTCTGCTGATAGAAAAGATAGGGTCGGTAGACCGCTTTAAGAGAAGGGACTTAAACATCTATTTTCCCCTCAGCACATAACTATAGCTGTCTTTTTGTTTTGCTTTTTTGGGGAGGCTGCTTTTTCTTTCCTCCTGAAATACGGTACTGGTTAAAATTCCCTAGTGCATAGTTTCTGAGTTGCCATTCTCCACATTGCCTTGGGTTCGCCTTTTACTTGATTAACTATTCATGAGACAACAGAGCAATTGCTTAACTGGGCAGCTGAGTGCAAAAACACTTGAAGGAAGGAAGAGATGCTGCAGCATCTGCCTGACGTGTAACTGATGAGAAAGGCGAATATGGAACTAATCTGAAATCCATCTAACTTGCTTTCAGAAATATAGTAAAGAAGAGGGTTGTGAGCATTTGGAAACATAGAATATGCCAGTAGACATTCTGTTGGCACTCTAGTAATGTAGTCTGCTGTAGGAGGCCAGGTGAAAAATTACTTTTCAATTTGCTGCTTGGCAGGAAAAAGTCTGAGTAGTGTATTTTGTTAAAGCTTTGCGCCCCTTCAAGCTCTCATTTTTATCATCTAACTCTGCCCAAACCTTACAGCATGTGTCTAAAACAGGTGAAAGAAACACTAGACTGTACCCAGAAGATGCGTCACTGACGGTGCTCTAACACTGCCTTAGCCAAGCTTGGAGTATCGGAGTGGTCCCTATGGTCAAACCCACAACTACAGGAGGATTAGGCCTAGAGCAAGTGACTGCTCCTAGATCCAGAGACACGAGGAGTCTCGTGGTGTTTCTTTACTATCTCCTTTCCATTAAGGGGCGATAGCAGTGTTCTTAGGACCTTCTCCAGTTGCACCTGTCCCTAAAGGCATAGGGCAGCAGTTCCACTAACCAATATCAAACGTTTATTTGCTTGAGTTCAACTACTTTACAATTAAGGTTTGTTAGCAGTGTTTGGCTAGTAACCCGTAACTAAGCTACATGATTACAGAAGATATGTCTGAACAGAACCCATCATCCTATGCACGTCTTGCCCTGTGGCAGCCTGATACTTCCTGCATGAAGGACATGCAGTGTTGATCATAGCAGCTACAGCGTGGGAGTAAATGATAAAGGTAAATCATACTGACTTGTTTCTGCAGGGGAACAGTACAGTCTTCTAAAAAGTGGCAAAAGAATGGAGTTCAGAGAGGTAGTATTTCCAAATACTTGATTTTTTTATTAAAAAAAAAAAAAGAGTCCATCAAGCAAGCCTAGCCTCGCTTCAGTGAAATAGATGAGCCCTCATCCCTTGCCAGGAGCATGAAACATCTGAGTTGCATGCCTGATTTCAGCTTGGCATATGGAGCCATGAAGCATGCTACATCTCATCTAATCGTTAGTCCTCATGCAGACTGTGAACTGCCTGCTACTGATCCCAAGTGTGGCAAAACCAGAGCGGTACAGCTCATTTCATGGCATGCCTGTTCACCAAGCAAATAAGGTGAAGTTTCATGAGATGACTGAGTTGATCTAATAGTTCACTGCTATTGTAAGGGCATTAAGCTGCTTCACACTGTAGTTTCTACACTTGTAGGTAATCTAGCTGGTGGTGGAGAGACACTGGGAGTCATGGGAGAAAGGCAGAACAGGGCCTGCCACTCAGCAGCCATAAGCAGAGCAGTTGGTTACTTAATCTCATTTGTGCTTTGACAGCAAGATCAAGCAAGTAAATGCTGTTTCAGAAAATGGTAGCTAAACTGCTGTATCCATAAAGGACCAGTTTATCTGCTATTGCATATTCCTGACAGTTTGTGATGGACTGGGATGGAGGGAGAGGATGCCTGACACGATTATATTGTGTGTTTTGGACCAAAACTTCACAGCCAGTTCAAGGACCTAGGTCTGATGTAACCCCACTTGGATTAAAATTCTGATTACATTTCACATCAGAACATTAACAGGATCGCTCTCTTACAAGAATCCCACTCTGCAGCCACCTTTCAGAATTATGAAGACTCAATGCATCACTAGTTCGTGATGCATTGAAAACAAGGAAACTTCTTAAGAAGAGTTACCTTCAGAGGAAGGGAATGCTCCAGTTACTCTGCTTTAGAGTACATAAACAGAAACATTTGCCATTCCCACTGAATTGCAAAGTGTATTGATTTTGTGATTGTATTTAAAGAGAGCTTTGTTGGAAGAAATTCACTTAAACAGTCCATCAAGAAAGATAATAAACAGTGAAAGTCAACAGTCACTGGATTACAAGTATAAAGTAATTTCAAGCTCTTGCTTTTCAACCCCTGTGAAAAAGAATGGTCTGCTAGAAACTAGTACTGTCTGTTTGTTGACTCTGGAGACTTTAAATACATTCAGTGTCTTACCATTAATGTAAGTTTGTTGTGGGAGGAGGGAAGGAAAGTATTTGAGGGGTCAGGGAGCTTCATTTAGCAGCCCCACCATGAGGCAGGTTGTGGCTGAGGCTAGTAACTGAGCCCAAGAGTGTCAGCATCACTGAGTATCTGACTGCTTGTGCCTGATGCTTGGAACCATTTGCTTCAGATTTGTCTCAGTTTTACCCTGAGCTAGCAGAAGTTACATATCAAAACTGTAAATCTATTTAAAATAGAGAACTATTTTAAAGCTCTGCTATATTAGCCAGTCCTCTGAGTTTTTCCTACACCGAGTGTTGTCTGTTATAACGTTACTGAGTGCTGGCTGAATATAATGTGCCATTCACTGAAGTAGCAGGGGGATGAATTGCCACTGAAATGCACTGAATGGAGAGGTTTGATTTTGCACAGAACAAGACAGTTCTCTGTTCTGACCCGTGAATAAAGGTTTCGTCTTCACTTCATCTGAAAATCGTCCAAGTTAAAGCAAGCCCTGATTGGATTCGTCACAAAGAAACACTGGATCCTAGCGATGTTTTCTCATTACTGCAATCTGAGCTATGGATCTGTACGAACAGTTTATCTGCATGAGTTTCAGGCTCAGCTCCAATCTATAACTTTTCTTTCTACTCTTTGTGCTTAGCTTGCAAATGACACACAAGCAAAACTTGCGTGCCACATATCCCCACTCAATGCCACTGCTTGTGAAGCATTGGCAGGAATTGTGCTAATATTTTTGTACACAGAACAGTCAGTCATCTCCTACAACCCCTGCAGTATTAAACTTTGTAGTCTTTCCAAATAAACCGTTACTTTGCACTGCTGTCTTAGCATCAGCAGTCAGTGACACGCACGCAGCTCCTGTCACTGCACATAGCTGCTGCATGCCTTCTGCTTGTGCCACGTAAGTCAATGAGACCAGGAGGAAAATGAGCCCATGTGCTTAAGGGCTGTGTTTCTGGGCTTAGCTACTGGCTAAAGAGATACTTGCATGGCCCAGATCTTTAATGCGTCAGTGCTTCAACCTAGTGTCTAACTCCTGTTCGGTGTCTCCATCACTCCACTGACTGTGGGAAGCAGGCTCCTGAGTTTAAGCTGCTGCCTTGCTGGTTGCCTGGGGGATGGGATTTTGCACACTCCAACACACGCCTGGTGCACAGGGAGCCTGGGGAGCAGCCATCCTTGGAGATGTTCAATACCCAACTGGACACGGCCCTGGGCAACCTGGTCTGGTTGGACCTGCTCTAAGCGGGACGTGAATAGAGGACTTGGGGAGCCTCCTTCCATCCTAAGCTATCTGTTGTTCTATGGGACTCATTACTGGGACATCCCATCTCTTGAGAAGTGGGAAATGTGAGTTTTGAATCCCTACTGTGGCTGATTTCACAGAAGCATCTGAACTCAGTGTTCCCCAGCCTTCCTAGGATATTGCTGCAAATGGCAGCGTATCGAGTACTCCTAAATGGGTTTGTATGACACATTCACTGGGCTACAGCAGGTACTGTATGTACTTGCTGGGTAGTAGTTATCTTAACTACTAAGACAGGGTATGGACAGGTCAGATTTGATCTTGTTTCAGTATTTTCTGTGCAGAAATGAAAGTTCACACATGACACTGAGTAAAATCCCGTATTACATGGGTGTAGTCCTGGGAGGCCATCAGACCTTCCACCCAGACACACCTCTGCCCCCCAAACACCCATCCATATGCTTTTCCAGCTGTCAACAAATGTAAATATTTCTATATAAAAGGCCTAAAAAATCTGTAATGTTTTGATAGGAAAAGTTCAACACTCCCTGCCAACCTCACGGGGAGGCAAAGGCATCCTAACACAGTACACGGTGAGGTACGTGCTGAGGAAGAAGTCAACCCCACTAGGACTAGAAACAAGCCTTGTGCCGTGTTTTGCTTTTCACTATGGCTACTTCCAGGTTCTGAGCAGAAGAAACAATTATTTTAAAATAAAATGAAAAAAAGTATTAACATGATTTCTGAGGGGGTTCTTATCTCCTGCACCTATTCCCCCATAACAATGGAATGCAGCAAAACCACCAAGACATCAGCAACCTGCAGCAAGCAGAGTCGATCATCCAATCCTTCTCTTTGAAGGAGTGCATTTCCGAAACCAGAATTGTTTCCATTCCATCCCAAACATCTCCAGAAGTTTAGCCCACGCCGAATCAATGCAGCTTTCCCTGCCAACTTGTGAGGCTACTCCAGAACATCCTCTGCAGCTCATTCCAACTCTAGAACAGGAATCTTTGCAGCTCCAGAACCTTCTAGATTCTGGCCTAGGTGAGTTTGTGGTCAATTTCTATTGACTGTGTGCCAGTAACAACGTTTTATATTCTTTCTCTAAAACAACACATGTGTTGTTTTAATGTTTGCAACACTTTTATCGTTCTGGATAACTCAGTACACCCCCTATCTCTTCACCCTATGATCTCCAAACACTTGTTATTTATACAAAATGAAACTTCAGCTAGAAAGAGCCATGCAAGGATAACCAAGTAATTAGCCTTAATTAGGACACTCACCAGGATGTTCCAGAGGACTCGAGGCCTCTCTGAAATGAGTAGAATGGGGACTGTGTTAATCCCAAAATTGTGTTGCTGTGCCTTGGGAGAAAGGCACCCAAATCAGGTCAGCCACAACTCCAGGAAGTATTTCCCATTTGCAAGTCCCCAGGAAAAGAAGCACCTCCCTCCATCTTTTAATTAATGAGCCAATCATCTCGTTAGCACATTGCATAACCTGGGCACCTGCTCAGCGTGGTGGCTTCTGTATATCTTATTCTTCAGACCCCATTCCCCCCAAGCCCAGGCTACTCATTTGGTGCCCTACATTTCTCCTGGGGCGGAACAACAGCCAGTAGAAATTTTATTTTAAGACCCCCCCCACACACACACAATAGACCTCAAGTAAAATATGTTAAGCTCCACAACTCCGAGTTCTCCATTTAAACTGTACAAAATTCATGACTACCTCTAGGCGTGCTGTCACTGGAAGTTAAATGTTACTTAAATCTAGTTGCAGAGAGAACGAAGGTCCAGCCTCAAAGGTACCTGACATATAATTCAGACTGAAAATAATCTGCCTTTGTGACTTGTCTAAGCTCTCTTCCAGCTACTGAGGTAATGTAAAAATAAAACCCAGGTCCCAGCCCAATAACAGCTTCGCCAGCTTTGCACAGTTTCTCCCATTTCCCTCACTCACATGTGTATTGACTGGTCTGATATCTCCTGCCCTAGTTTCCACCAAACACTGACTCACCATAACTAGGAATAACTATTGCTAATTAAAGCAGAAGATCCCATGAGGATTGAAATACACCCTTCTTCCTGTTTACTTAGATGAGCCCAGTAAAGAGAAATCCATTAGTGGTTGTTAAATTCAAGGATGCTCTCCCTGGCTCAGGCTGTCAATAACACAGGAGTTATTAAGGGCCCTGAGAGTGTTTTGGCAGACTAGCGCCATTCAATTGCCCTATTCCTATTTTTTCCCCTAGACACTTGGTTTTGGTCACTGACAGAAATAGGCTAAGGGACTAGGTGGACACAAAACCTACAAAACCTTTTTTTTTTTTTTTTTTTAACTAATCTTTTTCACAGATGTTTTACAGGGAAGATTAAAACGTGTATGCAGACCTAAGGTAGATGAGGAGTTGCCATAGACAGTGTCTTCCTCCTTGCCTCCACCTCTTAGTGGTTCGTACAGGCTATCCTGAGACAGACTCTGCAGGAGACGACATAGCTCTGGCTGACGGAGTGACTGGTTAAGAGCTGTTTGCTCGGGGGCTTCATGAAGACCTGGGAAACACTTCCACCAGAATGCAGGTGGTACTACAGATGAGTTGAACTATCCACTTCATGGCACTGAGTGGTTTTTAAAGTGACTGTTAACATGGCAGATAACTTTTTTGTAAACTAAAATGCAATTAATAACAGTGATTTAGCCACATCCATGTCTCATTGAGGCCTAATACTTCAGCACTCTGGCAATTACTTCTCTAGATGAGTTCTGGGGGCCTTGGCAATTGCTCGCTGCTGCTATTTTACTTCTATGCCCTAGGAGTATAAACTCAGTTGTAGAAACTCCATCTGAGGCCATTTAATGAACTACATGAATCAGAGCCCTGCAATAAAGCCCAATTAGAAATGAGAGCACAGAGAATATTGATCCACTTAAAACCTTTTAGAGATTTGCCAGCTTTCAGAATCTGCTTGGTCACTCATTGCTACAGCAGGCACCAAGCCTTTCATGCTATTTCCCTTTCATTATCTTGCTGGGATTATGGTTAAATTAAGATGTGATTGAACAGATCAGCTGGTGTGGGCTCCAGGCTATGAGGGAGCACCCCCAAATAACCCTTCTCACACATGCTCACCACCCTCTGGGACGGATTTTATTACTGCCTAATTCAGAGGAAATTTCTACAGCAGCTCTAGCTTCTCCTCTGAGCAATCTCAAAAACCTTTGAGAGTGTCTAATCCATTTTATTAATGGGACAATGTTGTCTGGAGGTTCTGGGCTTCCCAGAAGTCACAGATGATAGCATTACCATGCACAGCACACCCACGAAAGGGTCTCGCTAACTCAACACCTTCAGCGTTATGTGGAGTATATTACAGGCTAAAGAGCCCCTGTGGTAATGAAGCACACATTATTCAAATGAGACATTTGATCAAGATTTTCGAGAAGTGTGCATTAAGATATATGAGGAGGGTATGGCATCCCATCCTAAAAACGGGGCTTAAAGGTGGATGACTTCAGGCTGTTCCAGGCAGGATGATGTGTGGGTGATGCAGGGTGTTCGGAAGCCCAGATCCAAAGGACTGTGGGTAACATCTGAACGCTTACAGCTCACATGGGAATCTGCAAAGCCTCCACTCAGCTGTTGTCCAAAGGTAGATTCATCTTCACTTCACACCTCACAGTTCTCACAGCTCAGCGCATGTTAAAGCATTGCCTCTGCTGACAGCTGGTCCCCTCTGACCCTACCACGCGCTGCAGCATCACAGTAAATGTGGTGAAGCAGGCTCAGTTCTGCCGTGACAAAGAGACCTCTCCTCCCCAGGCACTGCCTCGTTTCACCAAGTTACACAGGCTCTTCTGGCTGGCAGGAGGCATTAGAGGGCAAAACACTGAATGGCTTCTTGTGAGGCTCTTTTGAAATACCTCTCATGAACTATCTGAGGATGACCTGCACCAGAGGGAAAGTCATTACAGGTTTCTAGCAGCAGCTGGGGCATTAGCATGGCAAAAAGGTCCTGGATTCCAGGCATGGTTCCAAAAGGCTGTGAACTTGAAATTAAACTGGTACAGATCAAAAATGCTAAGTAATTCCTGAAGTAACCTTGGGCTCCAGGCCCTGCTCCAGAGACTGAAAGCTCTTGAGCCACTAGGCCAGAAATACACATCCCATGTCCGAATCAAGCTTTATTGTCACGTCAGGCATAAAGAACAGCTTCAGCAGGCAGACAGACCTTTAGCAAGTCCAGTTTCCCACAGGGCCTCTTCTTCATTAATACATTGCCTTGGTACGGGGGTGGGACTGGTTCCCAAGAGCCACATGAGGGGCAGGGAGCAGACTCCTGGGGATGTCCCCAGCAGGAGCCAAGCTTGCTGCAGGTAGGCCATGGCAAGGCCCTGCAGCAGGCCCATGGTGCTCACATTTCCAAGTGTGCGTTTCTGGGCAAAGGGCTGGCTACAAACCAGCTCTCAAGGGCTCTCTGATGTTGTAAGCAGCCACCAGTGCCCCAGCTGGGTCCTGCTCTGTCCTGGCTGCATGGATGTGACAAAGCCAGCTTTTCTGTCCCTCATGTGCTCAGTGCCACATTCATCTCTGGTCTGGGGGCCCATTTCAGGCTGGCGCCACGCACTGAGACTAGGTGTTGTAACTAACACCAGAACAAAGCTGGGCAGGGGAAGATAGGCAGTGTTCCTCAGAAATTGTGTCCCCTTCTCTCCTCGGGCAAAGGACTTGTGCTCAAGAGGCTTTCCAAAACTCTTCAGCAGAGGCTCAGCACTTGCAGACACCTGACAAACTCCTGTCAGGAAAGTTTAGAGCAAACTGAGGTGATGTGTGACAGGTTAAATATTGCTAATGAGCATCAGGTGTTTGCAGGGGAAAATGGCTCCTCATCTTAGCTATGGTAATTATTTTAAAGATCTATTTAGCATTTAGATTGCTTAGGGGGAAAAGAGCTTGGAGCAGCTGATTGCCTTGAAAAATGCTCCAATATTAAGTGGGACTCCTTGAATATTGCTTTCATCCACAGAGGCAGAAAGCAGAGGTGACACTTCAGCTCGGGATAATTAGAAGGACTTTGACATCATTTGGTTGTCCTTGTCAACAGCATTATAATGTGTATGCACACAACAAATCTCACACAACAAAATTTACGAGTTAAAAATACAAAAGCTTAGCCACGCCGCACTGACGCCTTGAGAGGAGCCATGAAATGCTCCTCTCAGATTGCACTCTGTAATGTCACCCCAAGAATGAAATCCTGCAGTATGCTTTTACACTTAGCTACGTCTGTCACGTTCGAATGCCCATTTTCATCAGCAGATACCTATGGCTGCTGTATCATCACACCTCGCAGGCAATTTAGACTAAATGAAAATCTTGGATGTGAAGTCTCCCGTGGAACTCCCAGCTCTGGCAGGAGGTAGGACCAATTGCTGAGCAAGGGACTGGGCTCTCCCATGCCAGAGGAGTTTCTCAGCCTACAGGTGGCAAGTCTGGTCCAAGGGATGGTTTAAAATTATTCAGGGCTTGAGAAAAAGACAAAGCCACCAGTGAGCTTAATGCACCAACTGCAGCAAATCCAGCAGTTTGGAATGAAGACTCTGCTACAATTTGATACATTTCCTCCAAAATCCAAGAAATTGCCTAGAGAAAAGGACTTCTGCTTCAGAGAGGTTTCTCCATGCTGCTGAAACACCGTTTGCATGTTTCCTGCCTTGCAGCATGTTCAGCAGCAGAGAGATGACAATATAAAGCCCACATAGTCAAGCCGTCATCTACACAGCAGTTGGCAGTTCCCAGCGAAGGGAAGGGAGCACCGGGAGGCGATGGGACTTGTCTGTGGTCCCTGAGGGTCACGGCTGGCAGCAGAACACATTTCTTGTGCTCTGTCCCACAGCAAGAGGAGGCAAAACGCTGAACTAATTGTCACACAAATTCTGGTGAACCATGAAAAGGTGTCAGCTTTTTCAGTAAGTGCTTTTCTCTGCTTTGCACGCAGCTGTCCCATGTCTTTGAAACCTTTGTGGTCCCTTCCAAAATACATCTGTCTGCAGGGCCAATTCGGGTAACCCAGCTGCTGAAGGGAAGCCCGTAGGAGATGGCAGCAGACCCGCAGGTTAAAGCTGAGTAACTGTCAGGAGAGGCCCTGGGGCCGTGAAATGACAGACCACAGTGCGAGGCAAGGTGGGGTCACGGGCACTGGCACTAAGCCTGGGGAGCCAGCGGTCACCACGCTCACACGAAGCCCCAGGATGCTGCAGGGAAGGTGACACTGGGATCCTGCCAACAAACTGAGGCAGAGACAGGGAGGAGGCAAGGCAGGCCTGGGCTCTGACCACAGAAATCAGAGAGAAGAGGCCTTGGGAACAGAAAGCTGAGGCAGAGCCGTGGGTGTGGAGGGGCCCACGGGTGGTGTTTGGGGTCAGTGCCCCCACTTTGTTCAGCTCATGTTCCTGAGCACCCCTGGGCAGCAGTCAGCTCATCACCAGCACACCGTGAGGGCTCCTGCTGCCAGGCATAGCCCTGCCACAGGCAGCGAGGCGGCCTCGCCGTGCTGGTTTCCATGGAAATGGAGCCAGAGCAGCTGGTTCCCACCAAAATCATATTAAAGCACAATTTTGTCCCAAGTGGATTATTTTGTTATCTTTCCTCTCGTTTTTCTTCTTGCACCACGCAGTACATGGATGAAGCTGGATTTGTTTTACTGGCAGGGATTTGGTAAGCAGGAGTGTCACCAGGATGTCACGCAGGAGCTGCTGTTCCCATTCCGATGGGATGTCCCTGACTCAAAGACAGGCAGGGCCGAACGCTTCCCAGAGCCATTCCCAGCCCTGCACTGTTCTGCCCTGGCTTTAATCACTGCTCAGTCGCGGGTGAGACGTAAGCAGCTGTGGTCCAACAGATGCAGATCAGTCAGGAAAGCAAACGCCCGTTCACTTCCCTGCTGTTCCAGCCTCCCGTTGCCCGGTGGCACCTCTGCAACACGCTGCAGCACGGGCACACTGCTTGTGCAGCTCCTGACCGTGCTGCAGATGTTTGCACAACGCCTCACGGAAATGAAGCACGAGGAACGTGGATGACAGCCCCGTCAGCTGGCACTGAAGCGGGGAGGCTGGCGAGGGGTGATTGCTCCTGTCCATGCACAGGCACAATTCTCTGCTGGGAAAGCCCTGCCAAACCCCCAGCACCCTGCAAACACCCCTTTTGTTGCGACACGGAGGGGCAGCACTGGTTTCTTCCTGCCATGGCAGCAGAACAGACACATGGAAAACAAGTTTTGTTTCAGGTAGATCAGAGGAGTGAAGCCCCAGGTCTTAGGGAAAGGGATACTGGAACTCCTGGGCTGCGTTGGCTGGGAAGCACAAGACCAAAAGAAACAGGATGGAAGAAGTGTGTCAGGCCTGAGGGAGGAGCAGCCGGCAGGTTTCCAGGCACTTCTGTAATCAGTGAGCACCTCTACAGTGCAGGAGAGGTCCAGTCAGAGGGGCTGGGAGACAGCCATCCACCTCAGCTCGTCCTGCAGCTCGTCAGCAGGGGGTTTGGAAATGAAGAGACACTCCTGTAAGGTCTCTGTATCAAGAACGTCCCTTTTAACAGGCTGCTGAAACAGGAGAGCTAGCCCTTCGTGTTCCTACTGAAGCCAGCTTGGAGAACATCTCTGTTTCTAGGACTATATTCTGCCTTGTGTGTGCTAAAATGGTTTCTAGGGCACGACAGTAGTCATTGCTTGGGGCATACCTGGGTAGGAGTCCTGGGTCACAGCTCTGCTGACGTCCTGCTCCAGAAGCAGCGCTAAGAAAGAAAAACCCAACACTCAAACACAGACATTGCCAGGCAGGATGGGGAGGTGTTGTTTTCCCCTCCACCGACCCCCAGCACAGGCTCCCCCTCCTTCCCTAGGCAGAGGCTCCAGCAGGCTGATGGCTGTAGGGGCAGCCCCAGCTGATCCTGGTTTGCAAAAGCCTCTGTGGTGAATTAGCAGGGACTTAAGCCCTGGTTTTAAACCCAAAGCCTCCAAGAACACACTGCTGGCCAGGCTTATTGTTGATGCTGTGTGGATGATTTTTTGTGTGTGTGTGAGATTAGGAAAGCTTACCAGCCTTCTTGGAGTCACAATACTTGAGGCTCTGCAACACGCCTGCTAGCACACAGCGCTGGGTGGTGATGCTGCCCTGCCCTCAAGCTAGAGGCAGCAGAAAGGCCTTTGGGAAGTCTAGTAGGGAACAGGCAGGCCGATAGCCTGAAGGGCAGATTAAGGATGGAGTTAAGGGAAGAACCACCATCCCCCACCCAACCAAGGTGTTTTTTTCAGCATGTAAAAGCCAGCCCATAACTGCTCTTAGCTTTTGCCAGGAAGGATACTCTCCTGCTCAGCCAGCTGAGGAGGGCTTCTTCAGTCATTTTCAACTGATGCGCCACCATAACCTGGAAATCTCTGAGCCAGCTCCTGCAGAGCCCCTCTACAAACACCCCAGGAACCCACGCAATGAACTGGGGGGACACAAACCTAGGGAGAAACAGAGGCAGGGACCAGGCAGAAGAGGAGGGAGGCTCTTTTCCAATGGGAAGCAAAGGGGAATAAGAACAGGCTGAAGCACTTGTTTCAAAGTGGATTTTATTCCAGGCATTAGAGAGATTCTGGCACATGCTTTCTTCAAGAAAAGGGAAAACAAATCTGGGTTCCACATAAATTACATCTGGCAAAGTGCAACTTACAACTGAGTGGGGAAAATAAACCTTTTGAAATTGATTTCTGTACAACAGTAGTTTCAGTTCCTCTTAAATAAACCCCCATTGGTTCATAGCACATGAAATTACATTGCATGATCTGACACAATAACAGCTTTCTTAAAGGGTATTACCAATGCAAATGCTCCGTCTTCACAGTCTAGAGGTCTGTTTAAAGTAAACAGGAAAACAAAGGTGAGCGGCTGCTTATTCTGACTGCTGAAGAAACAAATCAACCAAATCTGAGGGCTCAGTCAGTTTTCTTTCAAAAACCCCACTGGAGTCCTGTTCCAAAGCATGGCACCGCTGGACCTTGCCGAAAGAAAACAGAGATGACATCCCTCCTCCTCCCTTTGGTGCAAGGGAAGTAGAAAGCACGCCAGTAAGGAGTTTGGCCAAGCCTTCGTTTATTCTGAGAAGATTAGTTTGTCCACACTTAAAAGCAGCTTTTTGTAACGCATCGGCTTTTCAGCAATTGCTGAAGTCCATTAACTTCCAGAAGGTGATGTGGGGGAGGCCCTGTGAGCTGTGCTTTGGCTGACAGGGGAGTACAGCAGCTGGCAGGGGACCTCAGGATAACACGTCCAAAGCCAGGTATATTTAGGGTTCTGGCAGCCCCTAACTCCAGGGGCAATTTAAGTTATTGACATCTAGCATCTGCCCACCCACTCCCTTTTCTCCCCCAGGCCAGAGCACTTGAAGAAGAGCGCTCAGGCTGCTCCAGCTCACAGCCCCGGATGGCTGCGAGCTCACACTCTGCCAGGCGGTGACCAGTGGTAAGAGAGGCACAAATCAGCACAGCGAGTCCAGGTACCGCTGCTCTGGGACCCATCAGGAACCTCTAACATTGGAGCCAAGCACAAAGTCCAGGGCAGTAGCCAGCATGCTAACAAGAACCCTTTGAACCAGGGCTGGCCCAGCGCTTGGAGGCTATACAAGCAGAGTTCCTGTGGCCTGCAGCAGTCAGGAGGATTGTTTGTAGAGGAGCGGGGTCCTAGTCCCAGTGGGGTTATGAAGAAGGAACTGCAAGAAAGCTGCACACACACAGTGGGAGCAAGAAGGAAGGAAGCAGTACCTGGTGGAGGAGCGAACATGCTGTTAGCTGCAACCCGTGAGATGCCGGAAAGTGAAATGGGGGAAGCTCGGATGGTTCACTTAGGATACATTTTGATTAAAATAAATAATCCTTTAACACTTCATTGTATGCAGAGCTTACATACAGTACCTGCTCAGTGGCCTTTCATTGTCTTTGCATTAACTTTTTTCAAGCCAGCTGTCTGAGAAGTTGACCATTCACATCTCCTACTGCCTAATAATGCTTTTCTGTAAGTAGCATCTCCTGCATATGCTTGTTTAAAAATGCAGTTGTCAGTGGGATGGCATCTCTCCCTGAGATGGGTCCTATCTGCCCTGTCGTCTTTCCTTTCCTAGGCTATTTTCTTCCAATTTCAGTTCTTTCAGCCTCAGTGGTCCAGGCTCAAAGCATTTCTACAGGGAAAGAGAAGTCTCTGCAGAGTCAGTACCTCTGTTCCCACAGAGAAGTGCAGCTGCACCATGCTGCACACCTGGGGCCAGAGGGAACTGCCTCCTGAGTCTTCACTGTGCAGGCAAGGTCATTCATCACCATCTATCAAGATGGTGAGCTGATGTCAAATACAGGGGGAAACAAGAAAAGAGCTCCTGCCACCTCACTGATATTTAATTTTTTAAATAAAAGAAAACCTGAGAACAGGAAAAAAAAATCTTCCAGTTCTCGCACAAGCACTTCCGAGCACATGCAAACATACATATGAAGAACAGTATCTGTTCTTTTGTCAACAAATCGGAGTAATAACAAGGTAGAAGAAAGAATTAAAAAGGGTTACAAACATGATCAAAAGCTGCCATTGTTCAGAACCCAAATGATCCCCCTGTGTTTCTTTTATACCAAATTAGAAAGGACCCAGATGAGCAAATGTCTTCTGAAGGTGGCCCCACCATATGGTTCCCCTGCCAGGCTGCTGGAGAGGAGGGTTGGTTTACAAACCCGTGCTCCAAGGTGATGTTGTGGAGACTTCTGTTTGCTTGTTTAAATTGGTAGGCTTCCCCTGGCAAGTCTGAAAACACAAACTCAGCTACAGCTGACTGGTAACTGGGAGCAAGAAGGGGACGTCAGCTAGAAACACCATCTGTCCTCAGTATTTCCAGCATACAGAGGAGAGCTCCCAGGCAGACCTATTCTGTGGCAGTGTCAGTTCAGAGCAGTTTCAGCTCCACCAGCCAACCCCCACCAGGTGACCCTGGGAGGAGAGCTGGGCCTCGCAAGTAGAGCAGCGCCAGGCCTTTTCACCTCCTCTTTTAGAGAGAGGGGAAAGATCAGCTGGACAGAGGGGTTGGGTGGCTTGTCACGCTGGGACATGCTCACAAGGGCTACACGTTGCCTTCAATACAGGGTGCAGTGGGCAGCATCTGACAGCACCAGAAAGAGCAGCAGGGGAACGTCCCCGCTTGTCTGGAATCCCCGAGCACCAGCACCCTTTGCTGAGCATCAAGGGCAGCTCCACAGGAGCACCGTACCCTGAACCCAGGTCCAGCTGGGCTGCCTGCAGACTGCGTTACTCGTGGAGATGGGGCTGGCCTTCCACCTGTAGAAAACTGGAAGCAGGAATTCAGCAGGGAATAGTTCCTGAAAAAATCCCAGGTTACACTGCTAAAACAGACAGGGCCCTTTTCCAGATCTCATCAGCATTGTGCCCTACTTCCCAGCCTCAGCCCATTTGGCTGGGAGGCAGAGGCAGATGTGGGCCTACCACAACGAGGTTACAAACCTGCCCCCAGAGCCTGCTCATCCCCCCCCAGCCCCTCCACTCATCGCGATGGCTCCTCTTCTGGCCAGTCCTCGCTGCGACACACCAGCACACACATGCACGATGATGCACGATGTTAAAGTGAAAAGCCAGGGAAGACAAAGAGCTACCGACGTTTGTATGAGCATTGTCCAAAGTGTTGGACTGAAGGTCACAGACTCTGGATGCAGAGAAAGGAATGGATAGGGGGAGAGCTGCAAGGCAGTTCTGACCATTTTGAGTATCAGGCTAGGTGCTCTCCCCTCCCTGTGTGCTGCTGTGCAGACATCAGCTACAAAGGAGAATTAAGACAACAGACAGGCTGATTTCAACAACTCCTCATCCTTCTCTCACCCACAGCTTATTCTCCGGAAAGCTCAAAAACACCAAGTGTTCAGCTGAAATGGTGGCTTGCTGATGGACACAATGAAAACATTTAGGGTCAGACATACAAAGCCATTCCTCCCATCCCGATCCCTCTCTGTTCCCAAAGTCTCATGCACAAAGAAACAAGGAGATCTCTGTGCTACCATCATGTTGCTTGTAGCAGCTCCCACTGTTGGCCAGGTACATCTGCTTGGCACGGGTTGGTCACCACTCTCCCAGCCTGGTTTTCCAGACAGAGACCACTGACGAAGTGTTGAATGAAACTGCCTTTCATCTTCCACTTCTGTGAGGAGAGAAGAAACACGCTGTTACTGCCACTTCACCAGGGTAACCATGCCTTCAAGCAGGAGGAGAAAGGCTGAGCATAAACCTGTTGTAAACCTCAACAACTGGGGAAACTGGGAAATCTGGGTATTGGCAGCTTCTCCAAAGCACTGGTTTCCTGTGTTAATGATATCTGGAGCTTGAGTTTAGCTGGTTTATAGGGTTAGATATTCAGAAGTATCCAGAAGGCAAGCAACACAAAATCATCAACCACCAGCATTTTCAAAAGCATATTATATCCAGAATTTCCCTACCATTCTGTAGGAATGTAGGAAATTACATTTGCTCTGTATCTCTGCACACCCAGATACCTTTCAAAACCTGAAACCCTTCTATGGTTTCTTTCCAATCCTCAAAAAGCTCTCCCAGCACAGGAAGCAAACCATCCACAGAACACAAAAACCACACTTCTTGCTCTTTGCCTAGATTGTATCTCTCTCTTTCATGTCCTCATCTCTCCTCTCATCAAGTCAAGACTTTTATCAGCACTACACTGAAAGCTCTTCATATCTCTGCATCTTCCTAAGCTGGTTCTTCTTAATCTCATCTGCTCTACCAACATTTCAGTCTGTAAGTGTACATCTCACAGCTGCTCAGCACACATCACTCTGCTTTCTGCAGTGCTGTCCTCTGGGTCTACTCCCACCAAAGCATATGCACAAGACCCCACATGCAACCCCGTTTTCCTGAAGGTCCTATTTATTTGTGCTGCTGTTCAGGTATGAAAACATATCTCCTAATCTTGAATTGCAAATACTGCTGGGAAAAGGCAGTACCTTCCATCCCTGCTAATAGCCCCGAGAAAATAAAACAGAAATGAGTCTATCAATTTGGGATCTCCCAGGTGGTGCTGTGCCATTTCCCTCCAGCGGGGCACAGCTGGGACCAGCAGGTGATTGGACTGAGTGCGCCAGGCTCCTGGGTTTTTTCCCCACTCAGTCGCAGATGACTCAGTCGGTCAGCAGTGTAGGGATATGAGGAGGATGTTTTGGCTAACCCATGTGACTGATGAGGAAGAAGAAACAGCTTGGCAGCACTGATGGACCTCAAGTCTGTTGCAGAAATGCATGCAAACTGGAGTAAAAAAATCCTGTGATATCCAGGCAATGTCAAAACCTACCAATATTTTAATTCTTGGTTAAGTAACGCAGCAAACAGCTTAGACTGCCACATGCTGTGTGTTTTAAGGCAATCAGTTATGTTCACATACTGCTGGCAGCTCTCCTCCAAACCCGTGTGCTGGTTATGCTTCTTGGAGGGCTGGGCAGTCGCAAAGCCTGGAGTAATGTCACTCCTACATCACATAGTCCTTCAAGACGTTACTCCAGGGGGAGAATCACTGTGCTATGGCTGCTAACCCTGACTGATGGGACACTGCTAGAGGCAAACTGTTTGTAACAGCAGGAAGAAGCTGGTTTTAACAGGCAAGCAGAAAGAGGAATGTAGCAATGATGCAGTGGAAGATCCAACACAGTCTGTGCACACAGAGGAGCCTGCAATACCCTCACCAGCTGCTGCATCCCAGTGTCTACATGGGTCCTGGAGCCATCTGGCTCTCATCTGGCAGAAGTTTCCCTGCAAAGAGCTGAAGAAGAAGTTAATACCAGAAAGCAGCACACTGTGTCTATCTGGTGTGATCTCTGAGCAATGACCCCCCCTCCCTCACTGTTTCCCAAGGTCACAGATAGCTTTGTGAAGAGCCTCTTGCCCTACTCTGACACCCAGCTTCCATGTAGGAAACTCTTCCTTGCCCTCCACCCTTGTCCCTGCCTCTGTCATTTTACCAAGAGACATTTTTTTCTTCTTTCTTCCAGCTGCTCAGGAGAAACCTGGCACTACCGGGAGGCTCTCTCCTGTTATTCCTCCAGATCAGAGACCTGCTTCTGTGATCTCTCCATGCTGAGCAGGCACCCACTGTGCTGTCTGCAGGAAGAGTCTGCAGCAACAGACACAGCAAGACACCAGCAAACACTCACCAGAGCACATTCTCTGCTGCTAATGAACTACACCAAATCAATCTCAGTGAATGGCACCACCGGAAGGCCCAGACCCAGAGTCACTCTGTGTCCCTCCATTCAACAGACTGGATAAGAAGGATGGGGAAACTGGGAGGAACACTGAGAAGGTGACAGAGTTAGCTGGTTGGTTGGTTATGCATGCATGGAGCTGTTATAAAGCACACTGACAGCCCAAGCTAAAGTAGGGCTCCCTCATTTCACGTAAGTGGTATTTTCAAAGTGATGGATTCTACTCATTCTGGCCAGAAAGTGTGTTCTGCTGTCCTCCACAACATACCTGATGAGATCCTCTGACTTCACCTGAACCTTTCGCAAAAGCCCACTGCCTGGCTGCCAGACCACAGGATAGCCAGGGACAGCCCAATAGCTAACCCTGCAAGGACAAACCATATTTCAGACCTTTCAGGAGGAAGGGCTATAGGAATGGGTGGAAATAGAAGATAAAATGCTCCCACCTTCAGCCATCTCAGGGCTGGGCACCTTATCCTAAACTAGTCCCCTAGTGACACGTTAACAGAGGGGTCTGAAGTACAAACACCTTTTGGGAGGGCCCAGCTTCCTCCAAAGACCACAAGGGGAACCTGGACAGCTAAGTTGTAATTTGCAGCAGTGATTGCCATCTTTAGAAGAATTAAAAAAAAAAGTACTAACAGATCAGATAATTCCTGCATACAGCCGAACTTTACAGGGAGCCTTCTTTCTTACTCACAGACAGTTTTGATCAGCCTGTACTTGGGCCAAGGGCAGCTTTTTGAAGATTTAAGCATTGCCACAGTGTGAAAAATTTTGACTTGAAATTTTTCCTTAGTGCAAATGTAGCTAATACAGTTTACTGGTCGCAGCAGGTATGAAGTGGAGATGGAAACAAGAAGCAATATTTTCTTTGAAATACTATCCCACTCTCTGCTTGAACCTCTTCCCCAAATGTCAATCAAAAATTTCCCCACTTTTTAGTAAAGCTCTCTCTCTATTAACTATCATTGTAAAGTATTTTGAGGTGGTTGGGTAGAAGCACTCCATGTGAAATTACTAAGAGGAAAATCTGAAACAGCTAGTTCTCATCTAACCAGTCAGTGAGAAACAGCACAATATATACAAGAGCTGGAAAGTGTTTACAGTACTGTAATTTCTCAGGATAATCAAAAGTCTTCTTTTAACCCACAGCAATCCGATCAGTCCAGGGTTTATTTCAAATTCCAGACAATAGCCTTGTAACCCTGGAAATGTGGTAGAGCTGGCCAGGATTAGGAAACGCAGCTGGGAAGAGCAGATGTTGCTGATTAGGGCTGAGACGCCTCAGACAGAGATGTATGGAGAACTGATAACTGGAATAGACAAGGATGCTGCAAGTTGTAATTGAATGTATTTGCAGAGCCATGGGCAACCCAAAGCTGGTGCTGAAGATGACAAACCCTCATTTTTAAACATATGAGCAGAGAGAGTGTGATAGAAAAGCTAACGTCAGCATCCAGTAAATACTGTCTCCCTTTGAACTCTTAAATTTTAAATTTTAGTTTTAAATTTGTAAAATGAAGAATCAGAACTGAGAGCGACTCTTGTCTCCTGAAAATTGCTTTCAACCTCTAGCATATTGCAAGGAGCATTTTACCCGCTTACTATCAGGAAGATGCTGAGTCAGGTGCTTCCAGAACACACAGGTCTTCACTCCTCTTTTCTGAAAGTCTGTGCAAAGTTGCATTCGTCTGCATTTCATGTAATACAAGACACTGAGAAGTAAGGTGGGAAAAATTCCCAATCATGTCCAAAGCACATAGGACTTCAAATACTGTTTGTCTCCCAAGAAAGCATGATGTCCTCATTTTCAGGCTGGGGTCACGTTCCTTGAGCACATTTTAATGAAATATGGCCATTTAATAAGGTTTCTCAGTATGCTTCTTGTTCTCTTGGGAGATACTGTGCCAATGTTTCTCATTTTCATTCGCTTGTTTTAGTGTCTGACTCTCACTTTGCCTCCTATTTGTCCTCACTATAATAGAAATTACAATGCCACTCCCACCAACAGTCAGAGCCAAAACAAAAGCTAAAGGCAAGAATTTATTGTGCATTCAAGTAAAATGCTATTCTCCAAATAACATTATGGATGACATCCATCTGCTTTGAAATCTAGTTCTGATTATGCACAATAGCTCTTGGCTGGTCTTGTTCTAGCAGTGCTGGCTGTTGCTGCTGAATGATCAACAAGGATCATGGTGCCAAATAGGTTTTGTTCCTGGTTTCTTTCAGCCCAAGGGAGAAGTCTGACAGAGTCAAAAGTCATCTACATTCGGAGCATTGTCTAGTATCCTGCTTGCAAGGTTCCAGAGTTATTTTGAGGTAATACCCTACATATACTGCTCATAAGACTTTAAAGCCTCTGCTAGAGTATTACAAACACGTCAGATGGACATGAGACTGTTGTTTGCAGTCAAAAACAACAACAAAGTTCTCTTCCCTGTGGACAGGCTTAACACACAACAGCTGTGTAGCGCGAGCACAGATTCAGCATGTTTGAAAGCAGAAAGCAGCTTTAGTAGCTATATGGTGCTGTTGTGAACTAATCTGCTCTGCTGACACCAAACAATCAACCCATCGCTTTTTTGTGCTTTTGAAATCACTCAGCCATAGACACAAAGTCTAGATCCAGGAAAGTCCAAATGCCTTCCACCACAGACCTCTGATGACAATAACACTAGAGATGGTCAGATCTGGACTTTCATGCCACCATCTCCTCGCAGGATAACACGTGTTGCACATTGCCAGGCTTGCCCTTTTCCTCTCAAGGCTCTTGCTTGCCACTTCCACTTCTCTGAGGTAGTTCAATTCCCTTCCTCCATTCCCACTCAGCCTCATTGGCTTTCTGAGAAGCCTGCTGGAACTGAGGAGTGGCTACACCCATGTGTAATTTGAATAGGCAGCAATCCCTCCCAACACCTCACGCCCACGGGGAGAGAGGCATCCTGTAGGGCAAACTGAGGGAATATGTTAAAGTTTCCACAGCAGTGGTTGTCACCTTGAAATTCACCTTTGTAAGTATTGGGAGCTGGGCTGGGGTAACATCCTAGGCAGGGGGATTTGCAAGCTGTCTGCTTATGAAGAACAAGACTCCGTCTCTTTCTTGTCTCTTTGTTGCCAGAATCCTGCCTTGCTAACCCAGATGACCCCATATAAGCTGTTAGGCTCGCTTCTCACTTCAGATAGGATTTGGCAAAGAAAGAATCAGTTCCCAAAGTGAACAGACAACACATTGCATTAGATGCATGTGGTCCTTCTAGAAGTGAGGCAGAGGAAAGAGAATGGGCCAGTTCGCAAAGACAACTGACTTCCAACTATTTAAAGCACAATGTATTTATGGAAGGAAGATACCGTAACAACATTCCCCAAGAACACAACAAACTTGAGCACTGCATGTGGAACTGGCTTTCTAAGCAGAAATCTGAAAAGGGAATTTGGGGCTTCCAAAGCAACCCCAAAATTTCAGAGCATTTCAACCCAAATTAGATTAAAAATTCAAATGCAGTTCTGCTACTTCATCTCCACCACCACAAGAGGGTTTGGAATGGCAGCTGAGATTCAGATCAGTCTCTAGTTTTTTGAAATGCTTAAACAAAATCCCTGCTCACGGTCAGTTGGCCAAATCATCTGTTAGCTCAAGTCCTTGATCTAAGTGCAATTTGTTCACATAAGGTAATGGAAAACAACAGCTCACATCCTTAAGTGTACATGCATGTCTTTATAATGATCCTGTATATAATCAGCACATCAAGGCTCAATAAATCCTACTCCAGCAGCAGAATGAACCTGCATGTGTTAGTGTGGATTAATCTCTCTTCTGGCTAATAGAGCCTGTACTCCACCCCCCTCCAGGGGACCCTTGTCCTTCCATGACACAGGAGGTGGGGAAAGAGCTGATTTTGGCAGCTGCTAGAGTCCTCTCTGCTGCCAGGGAGGAAAATGCTGCAAGGCACCTAAGGGGAAGCTAAGTGACCTAATTACACAGCAAGAGGCTGAGTGATTACCAACAGGAAAAAGGAGCAGGCGAGCACAGCCCACCTGGGATATCTTTGCAATGCTAAGCTGAACTAAGAGTTTTCCCAACGTATTCATGGTGACAACTCTTCAAGACGTTTCTGCATTAACCAAACCTCCAGAGGAAAGTCTACACAGGCATTCAACACATGGGCAAGACTGGAATTCAGTGCTTTCTTTCAGGAAGAACCTAATTCAGAAATTCATATGGCATTTAAAAGTACTGACAAAAAAGGATGATGCTGAGGACTGGTAGCAAGCTGAGCCATCTCCTGTCTTTGGGCTACCAAAACAATAGATGAAAGGAAAACACAACAGAGCCAGCATAGCTCTAGATGACAGGAAAATTGTTCTCTCTTGGTGTAGAGGGAAGCACGGGAACTAGGGATGAAGTAAGTCCTGTGCATTCACTGTCTGCCACTGCTGTGTTGTCACATGTTATGTTTTTACCAGTTCTGATAACAAAACAAAACAAAACAAAACAACAACAAAAAAAAAAAACACATAATGTATCTGCAGGAGCACTGTGGCCATCTCAGACACTATCTCTCACCTTGTGTTGTAAGGCAAAATGACTTCAGTGTCCTGACAGATCAGGGACACGCGTCTTGGAAACTGCATGACAGTCACAGAGCTGCATTTTGTCAGGAGCATTGCAAAGCCAATACTGCTGCTGTGTATTTCTCCTCAGGGAGTAGTTTGGACAGAACATATGGTGCTTTATGCCAGTCAGTATTTCTCAAATGAGTTGCGCACACTCAGTTTTAAAGGCCTGTTAACATGTCCAAAGACAGCACAAAGAACACAGTTCTCACTTCTAAATTAGGAAAAATGCTTTTACTGTGAGGGTGGTCAATCACTGGAATAGGCTTCCTAGCAAGCTGGTTGGTGCCCATGCCTATCAGTGTTCAAGAGGCATTTGGATAAGGCCCTCAGTAACATTGTGTTTTAACTTTTAGCTTCTCAATTTAACTTTTAGTTAATTTTTAGTTAAAAAATTAGTTAAATTAGTTTAGTTAACTTTTTAGTTAAAATTCTCATTTTAACTTTTAGTTAGCCCTAAAGTGGTCAGACAGTTGGACTTGATCTTTGATGGTCCCTTCCAACTGAACTGTTCTATTAAATAAGCAAACAAATGATAGCATGCATTGCCCTTCTCTCAAGTATCTCAAAGTATTTGCTGCTTACCTACTCCTCACTGATGCTGTTCTTCATCTGTGAACCAACTTTGCTGAACATCAGTGTTTCCATGGAGTGATGTGGTGGTGTGACTGTGCTGGAGCTAACTACAGTGCCAAGGGCCCAGGCAGAGCATATACCCTCACCCTCTCTCTCTGGCCATAGGCAATCTCATACATCTGTGCTTATGAAACACATCAGAGATGGAGATGTGGAGGCGGAAGGGACTTTTACACACTTTGATAGTACTGTGTTCATTCCCATAAGCTGCACTGATGTACGAACACCTCTATGTGACAACAAAGGGATTAATATAGGTGCAGTTACCTGTCTGCCATCTTTTTGATTGCAGGCTTCCAGTGCGATTTGAGAGCCAGTAGAGAAGGAGGTAATGGAAAGACACTTGTCTTGTTGTCTAATTAGAGGGTCACTGAATACCCACTCCTTTGGCATAAGAAAGAAAAAGAAAGGTTCTGTTACGATCATAATGCTGACAAGATGAGGGAGAAAGTTTTTACCAGTGTACATTTCAAAAACCTGGATATTTTCTTCAATGACTCCCTGGGAAAACTATGGAAGCAGTCTTCACTTGATCAGAAGTTTATGCTCAGGCTTGGTGCATCATGACTATTGCAAAAGCTGCAGCTGACTCCCCTGACCTTCTGAGCTGCCTGATTAACCTTGGATCCCTTGCAACTCCATACTCTGCAGATTTACAGTCTGGCCTACAAAGCAGGGAGGCCACCAACCCCGATTTACAAGATGTGCAACTGCCTCTGCATATTTTACATAACCAACATGTTCTGTAACAGGTAACCAGGAGTACAGGCTGTCAAATGAAGCAAAACACATGCAAACATATCCATGGGTTAATAAATTTCACCAGTACACATAAAGCACAAACTACTTCATTTTTCCTTCCTCTCACTAGATGGATGCCTATTAACCCAATCAACTATTATTATTACTTTCCCCAAGGAAGAAACACAAAACGGTAAGTTTCAGACACTTTGAATGGTAATGACAAGAAGCAATGAGTCAGATTTAATGGCATGTCGAAAGCTGTCTGAAAACTGGTTTCCAAGAGTTAACAGATGTGATTGTGTATTTTCTGGCATAAAATATCCTGCAGCAACCCTTAACTTTCTCAAGCTGCTTCTCTGCTGCTTTGACTACTAAAGAAGAGATGGAGTGCACATCCTCAGCTGGTACAAACCAGCACAGCTCCACTGCAGTCAGAGAAGCTGCACCCAATTACTGCAGCTGAGGTCTTGGCTACTTAAACTGTACTTGGGCATTATACTGAAACACATCTGTAACACAGCACAATTCAAGCCATCCGCAGCTACAGCTGAAGTGGTGGAGCAAGGAACATTTCTGACCCTGAGGAACTCTCTTACCCCACCATGCCTGGGTACTAGCCAGGTACACCCCTGGACTGGTTCTCATGGAAAAGTCATAGCCACATGGGCTGGAGCACACCCAAGTGATGGCCCAAGTGGTGATAGCCACAGGATTCAAACCCTGGTCAAGAGTTTACTGCACAGATAATCACACCTCTGAGCATTCAGGTGTTACCTGTTGCTTCCAAGTGACGAAATTCTTCCTACCCTGTTCCTGACTGTTGGGTCTGTAAAGCCAACGGAGCTCTGAGATGGGCACAGCTTCTTTTCCAGCTTACTGCTAATACCATTAACAGGGACAAATTTTTCCTTCATTCACCTCCGTACAAACCCACCAGGGCCACTGGTAATCAAAAGGGCAGAGGCAGGAGCAAAGCATCAAGCTGAAGCCCACCTTACCTGAGTGACAGGTGGATTGTTCACTGTCCCTTTACAGTTTCCCATGCCAGCCAACATACTTCCAGTGGTATCCTGTGCCCAAGACTCCAGGCAATTTCCTCCTTGTCTAATTATCCCTGGAATTAACTCCTTTTCAGGAACCCTTGAAACAAAACAACAATTGTAAGGGACTTCATACACAGAAAAGTCCAAAGCACTTTTACAGATTTATAAGAGCATAACGGGCCCTGTATGAAACACAGCACCCTGTATTTGACAGAAAATGCAAGATATCACACTATATGCTGAAAATGCCTGGAGCAGGCAAAAGTCAAGGGAAAACCTGATCAGAGGACCAGTACCCTTGTTTCAGAAGGCTCTTCAGAAAGTAGTTCAGTGTGATGCCTCCTCTGAAAGAGATCATTGCCAGTAAAAAGCTGTATCCACACCTATCTTGCATCTGCCTCCACCTTTTTCACACTCTTCCGCCCAGTGGCAGTATTCACTGCCTCTTTGGTAGCAATACAGGAAAGATCCGTCAAAGCCAGACTACAACTAGATGTTTTAGTCTCAATGCATGTTAGTTACAGCCTTTGCTGACTAGGATGTGAAGGTGTGTTGACTAGCAAGTGCTAACAACACAACTCTGGAGTGGTCCATGCTACCTCCCAGCAGAGCAGAGCCACAACACTACCACAGCTTGATCCAGGGCAGTGGAAGACACAGACACAGCTGGGTTTGGAATTCACCAGGATTTTCTCTGAAACACCTGCACCTCTGCACTGAGGCAGCCCAGCTCTACTTTGCCCAGCTACCTCCCGGAATAACATCCAACAGGCAGAGACCAAGCCTGAAACAGCTGTACGGGGCAGAACAGAGGGCTCCCAGAGGCAGAAGCAACAAACCTTTCTCAGAGTTGTAATGGTACAAGCCAGGAAATCACTGAAGCTTTCTCACCAGAGGACCAGAGGAAAACCTTTTCCAAGCATAAGTCTGTTTGTTTTTTTTTTTTTTTGCTTGCTGCTGCCACAGCTCAGCTTCTCATTGGGACCCACCTCCCCGATCAGAGATTTTTACAAGCTGAGAACTGACTCACTTGAGCTCGGGATAGACGTTCTCCAGATACCACTGGAAGGATTTACAGTTCAGCTTGCGGCGCTGCTCCACTCGTTCTGCAACACTGGAAACACAGGCAGGTTGTTGTAGATAAGATAGTGAACAGGAGGAAGGGGAGCAACGGAGAGCAATCAAGAGGTTTGAGGGAGACTATATGAATTTTCCCCCCTCACTCGTTCTCCCACCTAATTGTTGCTGGGTTCAGAGCACTACCAGTGACCTGAGGTGAAGAAGAATGGAGAGGCAACAGGGGGGAAATAGAAGAGGAAGAAACAAACGCCTTTGGAGAGTAATTCTTGCACTTTCTTCAGTTCAGAAAGATGCCAGAGCCCAGATTCTACAGTGCTAAATGATACAGCACAGTAAGGCTACTGTAGGACCAAGAAAGCTTTTCAGCCTAGCTTTTTTACCCTTGTAGCAGCATACCACAAAACTTGTACAACTATCAGCTCCTGAAAAGGCCTAGAAAATGTTTATGCTCAGATATGTGTGTGCTAGAGGTAAGGGGACATGGCAGCAGCTGTAGGCTGAAGTTGGATTGCAGACCTTAAAAAACATAATTATTTGTTCTTTTGGGAAAGAAGAGGAGTATAACGCCTCACTATTGGCCATGCCCTTTCCTGACCTATAAACCAGGCAAAACACTCATCAGCAAAGAGGAGTGCACCAGGTAGCAACCTCCCCCATGTGCCAGCTAGCTGTGCTTGGCCCTCAGTTCTGCGTCTGCACAGGAGCTCTGGATCAAGCTCCAGTAACTGCATAGCTCCCATTTCCAGAGCAGCTGCATACTGTATTAGAAAATATTCTTATCCACTTAAAAAGTCTGGCATTTTAATTTCATTATAGATCCCTTTGGCCTTCCATTAACAAATGATTTATGCAGGGTTACTGAGGGAAAAATAAAGTGAATTAGAAGGAAACCTCGTTAGCCAGACACTTGAGTTCCAACCCTCCCGGCAAGCCAGCCATTCAGAACACCTCTGTTTCTCTTTCCCACACTAAGTCCCGGAGAAGATCCCATAACTATTTCTTGCTAGCAAGCAGCTTACCAGAGCTCTCCTCCTGTGCTCACGGAGCAGCTTACCTCCCAAATGACTTGCCAATGGCTGACGGCCGGGCTTCGTAGTAGTACTGCTTGTATTCGTCCATCCACACCTCTGCCGTGCGCTTGGTGTTCCTGCATGGGGACAAGGAAATGCTTTGCTGAGTGCTGCTGGAGAACCTGCTCCCCAGGTGAGCAAGCACAGGGTTGCCAGCCTGCCCAGAGGGAGTGGGAATCAGTACCAAACATGAAACAAAGCGAGCAGTATGGTCAGATTTAGACTGAATGTATTAACTCTACAAAGTCTTGCATGGATGCTACAGTTCAGGAGTTAAAAAGAAAAAAATAATCAGCCAATTCAGCATGATTTCTTTCAAATATGCTCCCTCTGCAGAGATAACTGGACTGACTGTTGGTATCACCCTGCTCCCTTTCCCCACGTTAGAATAATACTACGGAATAAATCAGCTCAGAAAGCATCCCTGGGTACCACCTAGACCAACCCTCCCACAGAAAGCAGGACTAGCTTTGTGCCTAGCACATGTCTTAGGGCAGCATCCACAAATGGTCACGGTCTCTCCCTGGGGCACTGCTCCCCACCTCCACTGCAAAGCGAGGAAAAACAAGCTGCAGGAACACAAACAGAGAAGGGAACAGGTTTTGTGCATAGACAACAGCAACCCATCCTACCCTTGAGAACAGATGCTCAACTGCAAGCTGTTCTCTGTCACCAGGCAGAAAAACAACAAAGAGTTCAGGCTTATTTATACATGCTTGACATCAAGGTGATCTGTCTGTTACCAGGAACTCCTGAGCACCTACTTGATGTACGTCAGCGCGTTGCCCTCGGGGAAGTCATAGGGATGGCGCTTCCTGAACACGTGTCCCACTCGACTGCAGGGCACAATCTCCAAGCTGCCACCACACATCCACACTCGGAAAGAGAGCTCTGGAAGAAACCCCTAAGAGTTATACAGCTGCAGCCAGACCATCAGCATTTCCAAGAAGAGCAACCTCAGCAATGTGCCTGAAATCCTTGCCTCTCTGCTCTAGGTGTATTTCCAGCAACAGCAAAAACAGGAAAAGTGATGCCAGGGCGAGAATGAAAAAACTCTCCTCCCTTCATTAAAATGGAGGCAACCCACATGGCTCAGAGACTCCCTTAACCTTCTCTAGTCCTGTTCCTCTCTGGTATATCCTGAGATAACTTTCCATTTAAGCAGATCCTAGTGGCTGAGATCACCCTCACGCCGATCTTGTTTTGGACTTCTCTAACTCTCCCACCCAGCACACGGATGGAAGGAAAAAAAGAATTCACTGTGTAAAGCAAATCATGTGAGGAAGAGAAGGGATCTGGGAGACAAGGGAGAAAGAAGAGAACAATATGAGGGCATAGGAAGTGAGGCCAAGTCCTCTCCCCCATACCTCCAGCTACATCACCTGAGGTACCACCTGAAAGCAGAATACCTCCAACACTGCTTGGACATGATCTGCAGTTGTCCCCTTTACATCATGCAGTGTGATAATAGCATAGCTGAGGAGATTGGTATATTTACAGGCAAACACATTTCCCTAACCTGGGGCCCAGAACACTCACTCCCTGCAGAGCAAGTACCACAAGCCAAGGAGCCCCTCTTCTTTTGCCGCTGGCCTCTCTCAAGCCTCCAGGAATGGCAGTATATCCTGCATCAACCTGTTATACACCTTAAGGTGCTTCATCGCTCTTGTTCTGCTTCACTATGTCAAAAAAATAAAATAGAAAGAGGATGACTGGTTTGCAGTTTGTCACCTGTTGCCCCTGCTGGGGGAGCTACAGGGAGCAGAAATCAGCCTAATAGCGTGATTATAAATATATGGAGAGAGCCCCGTTTCCTGAAGAAATTCAGCTGGTCCTGAAGCTAAATTCAACATTTTCTTAAAGGATTAGAAGAACATGGGGCTTTGATGTGCAGGCACTTATTTGCATCACAGAAGAGATATGACCTCGCTCAGGCTTATGGGTCTGTCCTCACAGGTTTAATCACTGCCACACCGGAGGGGTTTTCTGCTTGTGTTTCATGTGGCGGTGAGAAGAGAAGAAGTAAGAGGGAAAAGGAAAATTAGCTGGGTAGTTGGTTGGGATTTCTGATCAAGTCCTTACAAAAGGGCTTCAGATTGTGTAGACTGATTACTTCAAAAAAATTACTCTCTTGGGATCTCCCTCCAGTAATGCCCGAATTATGGAGCTCTGATGTTTAGAAAATAAAAAAGAAATGATGCATCCAGCTCTAATGGCTGTTTCAAAGCATGCACACACACTAACATCCTTTTGCTCTTTATCTTTCTCCATAGCTTTCCTCTCCAGCTCCTGGGAAAGGTTGTTTAAATTGTGTAGTGTGTTTCTCACTTGGTTGGGTGGGTGAATAGTGGTATTTATGAGAGGTATTTAATCTAGCTACTAAATAAGTGGACTGCATTTTGTGGTATTTCTTACTAACTCTAGTCTCTCCCTGACCCTTTCCTACAGCTTATTGTTTTTAGTCTCTTTTCAACAGGGAGTTTCAGCTTCAAATAAAAGAAGAGCTCCAATAAATAAATAAATAAATAAATAAAAATAAAAGGGTCAAGACATGAGTTTCTGTCTGGTGTTGTGTCCAGCTGGCATTTGCTCTCCTGAAATGAGGTTCTGATTTGCTCTGGCCTATAACAAAAACAAAATTCTCAATCTAGTAGGTTTAACTTAAAGCAATGTCCATTTCTCAAGAGAGGAATCCTCATGCCATATTCATATCTTAGGCACACAGACAGACTTTGCATGACCAGGTTTGCAGATGACAGAATTCTTTAGAAAAGGGATGAAAGGATGCAGGTTTTGGCACAGAAAGGAAAATGGAGATCAAGCATAACTTATTAAGGTCTTCCACGCATCCTTTGATGAAAAGCATATGAGATTTTTTTGCTATATGCTTTCCAGAACCTGGCCTAGTCCATATACATTTTAAATGATATAATCACTGTGGCTTTTCCCCATGCAGTGGAAAAAAAAAAAAAAAGTTTTTACCAGCTCACATCCAGCTGGAAGAATACTCTGGCAGCTGGTAATCACTACCAGAACACTCCTGTTTACCTGCTGTGTGCACAGGGCTTGTCCAGCTCTTAAAATACACTCTCTTACTCTGTTTTCTTGTGGAAAAGAAGTTTCAAAAAAAACAAAAACAAAACAAAAAAAAACACCTAAAAATGGCCTTTGTGGCCATTCTCACCCACACAGATTAGTCAGAGCTACTCTCTCAGCTCACCCACAAATGGTGACCTTATCCAACCAGTTCCTTTCCCTTCAAAATTGTGACTTGCAGTAAAAAGTGTTTCGGAATATTATCAACATTTTTCCTTGATCAGAGAATTTAATTTTCAATTAAGTATGGAAAACATTTTTTTCAGAGTATAAATTCACCACTCTAAATACTTTTTCAAGGAAAATGAATACTTTTTGTTGTCAAATACAGGTTGGTTTCTACCCTTCTGCTATGCAACAGCAACAGGCTGAATGTAGAAGCCACCGATTGAATCATTGCCTCATATTATGCCAACGAGCTGAACAAATGTTAGCTTTAGAGAAGAAAAGTTGTCTTGTTTTTAAAATATTTTCCCATTGCTATCATCACACTGGTGCTGTGGCAATGCATCTCAGGGACAGGCCCCGTTATACAGAGCATTGTGCATTTAGCCTTGACTTCTGAAGAGAAGAGTCAAGGTGCAGAGTAAGAGACAAGTGATGGGAGACAAATGTACAAGGAACTGCACAAGGCAGAACTGGCAAGCCCCGCACTTCTGGCCCAATCCCACACAGCCTGGCCCAGCCACTGTCAGGCTGTACAAGAGCAGTTTGAAGGAGGAGAATGAAGCAGTTCTGTGGAGGTTTTATCATCTGTATAGGCACGAAGGGCTGTGGCTGTGCAGGTAATTTACTGCCACTTGTGGCAGAGAGCTCTGCTTAGCATCAGCTACCGACATACACACCAAACAACCATGCTAGGATCCCAGGCGGGCAGTAGCAGACAATGAAAAGCCTAAATAAATATTCTTTCACTATCTTTGGGGTTTACACAGCTGCAGCTGAGAGGCTGGCATGATGGCTAAATGGCTGACTGCAGCTGGAGCAGGGCTAGTGACAGCAAGGAGCTGAGTTTGGCTGTGCAGAGGAGTCTGAGGGACACAGGAAAAGGCATCCTCATGCCTAGGTAAATGCTCCCTGTTATTTATATCTGCCTACAACACTTAGCAGACATTACTGGCACTGCTAGTTGAACAACTCTTTTTAATATCATGAATATCACAGAATTGAAGCAAGACCTCAGCAAACTGAGAGCATAAGCAGTCATTATTGGTATTTTGTTTTTAAAAATTGGTACTTGATATTCTGTTAGCAGACAAAAATATCATTTATAGGTTTCAGACAGCATTTCAGAAAATGGCACCTCTCCCAGCTGTGTTCAGAGAAACAAAAGTTTCTTCTATTTCATTCTTCCTAATTGGCCCTTCAGGTGCTAGGAAACACCATATAAATTCTTCTTTAAAGAGATTTATTTACAAATCTGTGATATTTATGGAAGCTGTAGAAACAGAATATGTTTTTTGCCAGTGTAAGCAAGAGAAAAATCAATTTGACTGAAGAACAGAGGAAAACTTTTGTCACGTCTGCTCCACCTACGTCATTTCTAAATGAATGCCCCAAATACTTGAGGTCTCCCTGAATGTCTTTTCAATGTCTTTCTTCCTTTTGTCACTAATCCCCAGTGACAGTGCAGCATCCCTTCACAGGGGCAGAGAAAGAGAGATCCCTGAAATAGCTGTGCCACCATTAGGTACAAAAAGATGGGTTTCAGCACCACATTCTGAGGTAACTGCACTTAAATGGACAGTCTATTCTGGGCATGTGAATAGCTCAGATGTTTATGATGCTCTACTTTGCTTCAAAATGTTTTCATTCTGAGTGTATTTATACACAAATTCCACTTACAAAGAGGCTTATTTTATTAGGAAAATCATCCTTCAGAGTTATGAAGCTGGGAGAGTAATTCAGACTTCTCTAGGAAGAGAATGTCAGAGTGACTGTCCCTTGCAGAGTTGGGCTGACACAGACTGTCATGTGAAGGAGGACAGGAGGAGTATTCTCCAAAAACAAGCAACAATTTAAATATCAGGACTTTTTTGGTTTTTTACTTATTTGTACCAGAGTATACAATAATAAGAATACAATAGTGCATATGCATGTAAGACAGCGATAGCCCTGCCCTCAGAGAGCCTCCATTTACTCTGCACAAAGATAACAGGTACAATTTTGACCAACATGGGGTTTGCCTCACCATGTCCATAGCCTTACATCAACATGCAGATCAGTCCCTTGCAAGAAGAGTTCAGATAGGTGAACAAACACTGGGAAGTGGTTCTTTAGTGTCATTCACCCAAAACACCCTAAGCTTACCAAAATTCTCTCCTCCCCATATGTCCATTTGAGTGTCGTATTTTCCCAGGTGGTTAAACCAGGACTTGTCAATCACAAAGATGCCTCCTGCTATGACAGGGGTTCTGGAAAAGAAAATACAAGCCCATACTAAATTATCACAAGTACAAGTGAATGCAACACCACCATCATCACCATCTACATTTTAGAGAAGAGACAATTTGTTCAGACCCAACAAATCCTATCTCTTCAAAACAAGAAAGTAGTAGAGCTGGGGCATGAACAGGAGTCTTCTGAGATGCCCCTCACTAGATCCTCCTCCTTTTTCACGTGGTGCTGCAAGCACTACTTGAAAAATGCTGTCTTTGTACTTGCACAAATACGTGCAGTGTGAAGGAATGACAAGGGTATTGTCTGATAACTGTGTTCACCAGCTAGACATGGTGTGAGGGGCTTTGCTGCATGTACTGCTCTGCTGTCAGTAAACTGGCTGCTTCCTGAGTGCAAAACAGAGGCTCACAAATTATGCAAAGGAATTGAATGATACTTTTATGCTACAAACAGGGAGCTGTCTACCTATACAGACAAGCACTGACTTTTTATATCAGGATTTGTCACACTCTACATTCCTCAGAACCCTGTACACAGCAGAAAGGCTGGCAATAACTGCTCCAGCCAACACAATCTGTTTTGTCCATGGACACACTTATTTAGGAGAGGAGGTTAATTCTGTGCTCAAATTACGAGGTGAGATTCAATTCCCAGCTATGCTTTACACTTCCCAAGGTGACTGTTTAGCTACTTTATTCTTTAATTCCTTAATTCCACCTGGAAGACAGAAGTAATTAAAAAAAAAAGGTATTCCTGAGGCATTTAGCGTGTTGAGTGAGGGAGATCACAAAAACAAACATATAGAACAAGAAGAGGTGACTTGCAAAGATAGCAAGACTACGAGCCTATGACAGTATATAATTACTATTCTTATGATATTCACAGAATAATACTCTCAGGATTAGTGTACCAATACATTGCAAGATTTCTTCAGAACTAACATGATTTTTAGAGGGCAAGATAAGGGAACGGCATGGAGCTGCATCAAGGAAGGTTCAGACTGAATATTAGGAAAAGGTTCTTCACCAAGAGGGTGGTCAGCCACTGGACCAGGCTGCCCAGGGAAGTGGTCACAGCAGCAAGCATGCCAGAGTGCAAGAAGCATTTAGACAATGCTCTCTGATATATGGTCTGATTTTTGGGTGGTCCTGTGGGGAACCAGGAGTTGGACTTGATGATCATTGTGGGTCTCTTCAACTCAGGATATTCTATGATTCTGGGATTTTGTCATTATTGAGTGAACACTGTGGTATCTTGTCCTCAGCAAGGCAATCCCATTAAAGGGAAGGCTTGCCATAGAGGGAATTCCTTGCCATAAAGGTGAAGGCTTATTAAGGCATTTATAGGATTGCACACAGACAGATACCTTATAGACTGAGTTGGGTCTGTTCGGGACATCTTCTGCTCTATAGGAATCTGCTCCCACTTAAAGTGAAGGCTCCAGTCAAACCCTGTGAAAAAAAAGAAACACACCAGATAGGTTTTGTTCTTGATTTTCTACTAGCTTTAGCAATAGCCTCTGTCCTTATGTCACAAGCTACCCTACTTTCCTTCCCTGACCTCCCTTTTCTGTCTACCCAAAATAGTAAGAGTCTATCCTCATGTAGCTAAGAAGTTGACAATTTACTGTCTTGGCGTCCTCATCCCTTAGCAGTACAGGTCTCAGCTCAGTTCCAGTCTACATTTTCAGGAGAGTGTTGTCAGTGTGAGATGTACTAATTAGTGCTGCTGCATTTTGGCCAGTTTGTTTTACACTTCCCTGAGTACCAGAGTTATGAGGCTTTAATCAAAGCGCTTTGTGGGGTCGGATGTGACACTGTGGAAACAAAGGCTTGTAGATCATTTTAACCATTTTCCCCGTCTGAGCCTACCATTTGTTTACAGTTGGCCTGTGGTGGAGAGCTGAGCGCAGCAGTCAGTAGCACCATACCACTGTTAAGGTTAGCCACATAGGAACAAAGCCTGGACACTTGTGTTAATTTAGAGTTTAATTTTCCATTCCTTACTCTAGTGGCTCTCTCCCAGGGAGCAAATTGCACCATGCAGAAACAGCCCAAGATGCTACAAGGACCACAATTAGCACAAGAAGAGTGAAGAGTTTGTAGGGGTGGCTTTCACCGATCTTCTTTCCTATTACCCTCCTTCCCTTAGTGGAATCTGTAAAGAGTCACCTCCATGGTTTATGAACATAAAAATAGAGCACAGAAGGAGTGTGTTTCATGGCTGGCTGCTCAGTCTGAGTGCCACAGCCTAAAAATCCTGCTGTTCACTTGCTGGTAGGAGGTAAAGTGGCCAGAGGATATGGTGATATATGTAACCAGTTAACTAAGCCCTGATACTGCAAGACACAATGACACTGATGTAAGCTCAAGAAAAGAAAAAGAAAAAGAAAAAGAAAAGAAAAAGAAAAAGAAAAAGAAAAAGAAAAAGAAAAAGAAAAAGAAAAAGAAAAAGAAAAAGAAAAAGAAAAAGAAAAAGAAAAAGAAAAAGAAAAAGAAAAAGAAAAAGAAAAAGAAAAAGAAAAAGAAAAAGAAAAAGAAAAAGAAAAAAAAAACAACAGTATTTGGGCTTTAATTCAACTCTGCAAAAGATCTGATTTAGCAAGTTGCAGGAAAAGGAGGACAGAGAACCCATCAGGAAGAGCCTCACTATTTTCTTGTAAAGCTGAAGAGAACAACAATTATTTTTCATGCACCATCCCTCAGGCCAAGCTTACACAAGCCGTTCGTTATACCCACCTCCCCGCAGATCTGCTGATGCTGCCAGGTAGGCAAAATTATCCAGGCTGATAACATCAATGATTGGACTCACCACTCGGGTATAATCCTGAAGGAGATAGAGAAAGGGGGAAAAAACAGTCAGGCTATTCTTGAGGGTCTGGTAAAACTGCCAGAGATCATAAAAAACACAAAGCTGCACATGTAACATCCAAATTTTTGTTTGGCTTCTCCAGTATAGTTCTGACAGCTGGGCAAGTGATGGATGTCCACAACATCCAAACAAGGAGATGGTGGGTATTAGCCAAGTGTGCACCATGGAAATGGGGAATGAAGCGTGGGACCCCGATACCCAGAAGTGCTGCTAAGAAACAGCTCTTTATTTTCTGCCCAAGTCACAGGACGTGAATCACTGTCCCTAAGGTTTTGTGCTCATTTTTGCTATCTATTGACAGCATGCTTCCTGCTCAGCCATCCTTGAATTAACTCATTGCCATCAGCCCAGAAACAATCAACCCACTAAAAAAAACATCTCCCTAATAAGTGTTATGAATCAAAGCTCCATAATTAAGGATTGTAGCACAAAATGAAAAAAATATATATATCGTAATATTAAAGGGATACTTTACTGGCCTTAAGGGATATAGATAGTTACAGTTTTACTTTGCAATCCTTTTAGTAAATGGAACTTGAGATTATAACAAGTTTTCTTCATGAGACAGGGCATTAAAGACAGCCTTGTGATAGCTGAAATCTATGATGAAACAGAGAGCTGGCAATTCCAGAAACATCATCTTGTTATCTGGCACCTACCAGCCTCCACAATGTTCATACCAAACCTCCATTTTGTGCCTTGAAATAGCTCCTCCTGCTGTGGCCTGGCTGGCCAGCATGGAAGCAAGAGACTATTGTTCATGGATATCCCCTTAGTGCTGTGACAGCTGCACAGGGAGTACGTTGGCAGTGCCTGAGCCCAATGCTCCAGCTACTGCTCCTACCAGCCAGCACTAGGACTGGGTAGGGCAAGACTGAAATCCAAACCAGGACCCACATCGGGAACGTATGAAGTAGGTGTGCAACACGCTGACTTGAAATCTGCTCACTAAATAAGGCTGGAGTCGGCAGCCAAGCTTTTGCAACTTAGATCCTTCCCTGAGGAAACCAGTGAGGTCCTTGCTGCTTAGGAACACCATGCTGCTGTAGCTTGACTTAAACAGAATTAGTAAAGTAAATATTTATGGGCTTCCAAGGTGGAGGATTTATTGAGCATGACTAAGAAGCAGAATCTTTTAAGTCATCGGCTCTGAAATTTCACCTTCTTTCACTGTAAGCCAGAGATGGATACAAGTCAGCAGTGCAATCAGGGTGACAGTTGCTAATATTCCTGTCTCGTTTTCAGTCTTCCAGACTCATGACAAACCTTTCCAAAGCCAGCCAACAAAAGGACATCCCTGCACTCACTGGCAGCTCCTCCGTGCTGGGAAGCTCCCGTCACTCAGCGCCTCCTGCCCTGCCACATCGGCAGGAGCATGTATGAAGGCCATCAGGGATCTCTTGCCCATCTAGCTCAGGCTGTACCTTCCTCTGTAACAGCCTGCCTGAAAAGAGGACTACCTGGGAAGGCTCTATGCTTGCTGACACTGTTCCTGGCACACATGGGCACAGGATTCATCAGCACAAGGCAGGCCCCAGCCCCAGCTAGCCCAGACTGGGAGATGGTGCTCACCTCTTTCACTCTCTGAAGCATTGGCTGCAGCCACTCGCTGTTGACTTCACAGTGACTGTCCAAGAAGGTGAGGATGTCGGCGGTGGCCACTTCAGCTCCTCGCACCCGAGAGCGAATCAGCCCTGCGATGAGGAGCCAGAAGGTTAGGAAGGGAAACAGCTGAGCCTCCTTCAGAAAATAAACTAATTGTGTGGCCATAGCATGAGAAGACCAGGCGATTGTCCACTATCACACCTCTGTCAGGAGCAGAAAGCAGCAGGGCATCCCTTGAGGGCCACACCACAACGTGAGCCCCCCCAGCACACAAAGAATGACTTAATCTGCTACTTCTGTCCATGCCACTGAACTTTCATCTGGTTCCTGCCTTGATGAGGGTCCCCTTCCCACACATACCTTGCTGCTGCCTGGGCCACACCTGCTCAGTGTCTCTCCCCTCAGAGCACCCTACTGCCTCTCTTACCACTTAAACAGGAACCAGCTCTACTCTCTTGCTGTCTTTTTTCCTTCTTACCTGCTTCCTTTTCTCCTTTATTCCAACCCATGATCAGAGGTGTCAGTCTGGCTCTCAGACATCTCCATACTTTCTCACAGACCATCCCACTACCTGGGATGACTTTCATGAATAGAACAGCGACTCCTGTCTCTCATTTCAGACCCTTGCTCCAGGCCTGCTGTGCACTGACAGCTTTAGAAATCAGCCAGAACATTTGAGTCAAACTAGAGAGCAGCCAGGTAAGTCAATGTTACCATTTATGCATACATGAGATATATAAGATTTTTTTCCTTAATTGTATTTGTTTATGATAATATAATTGTTTGGTTTTTTTCCTTTCCCACATCTCCTGAATGTTATCTTGCATCTCCTGAATTATTATCTTGCACTCTGCGTTTAAAAGACAGGACTTCCATCTGCACCTATATTCACAAAGATCTTAAAATGTCCTTGCTCTAGCCAGGGCCTCCGGATACCACTTGTCATTACTTAACTATGAAATGAGAGCCTTAGAGTTGATAAGAGAGGTTATCTGTCCACAGACCTCCAACATTAGGACACCAAACCCTTATACTGAAACAAAACAAAACAAAACAAAAAACAAAACCAAAGTAATGGTAAGAAACAACTTACATGCAGCTGGCAGGCAAACAGGGCCATGTGGGAAAGCCCACTAAAACTCTGCACCTACGAAGTTTCCACACTCACCTTCTCGACGGGTGTTTCGTAGACACTTGACCTTCGGGATCTTGGTAAGGAGCTGGCAGTCCTCAGCTTAAGGGAGGCAAAAGAACGTTTGGCACACATGCATGAATTACTTGGCTTCAACAGAGAGCTCCAATTAACTATTCTCCTGCATCGCCATGGGAGGGGAACTTCGACTTTCACTTAGTGTCACATTAAGCAGCCTGATGGCCTTAGTTCTCTTGTCTAAAGGGTACAGCAAAGAGAGCTGCTTGCCTGCTGTCCACCTCAGACAGCTGAGGCTTTGCTTGCTGATACTCCAGTGGGCCAGGCCATCGCCCTCCTACACTCAGCACTTCACAGCAACGACAGGGCATATGCTAGCAATGTGGCACTGAGCGATGATGAAAATGAGGGGCTGTAGGGAGCCTGGGCTGTAAATTGCAGAAGTGCCAAGTAAAAGAGAGTCCTGTCATATGAAGTGATCTCATCCATTCTCTTTGCCTTCAGCGGCTCACCTGGGCATTTCCCAACATTTATTCTCAAGGCAGTTTCTGCTTGATTTTATTTAATGTAAATCACAGGGATCTGACCTGCTTCCTTGGAGACGCTATTAGATTAATAGATGGATGCCTAACTGAGGGCTTTGCTGGCAGCTTGCCTGAATCTTGGGCCATCCCTCATTTCCACTGCCCAGGGAATATGATGGAGAGCAGCAGCTCCCAGGCTCAGCCCATCCATAGCAAAGCACCAGGTCATGCAAGTTTCCAAGGCTGCACGGGCTTTGCAGGATGCCATGGGCTACACTGCCTGAGAACTGCCCTAGCACAAGTCACAGTAATAGCAATTTCTAAGACACTTTTCCCTTGCTTCTGCACGCCCTCATCGCTTTCCATGTTTATTCCATACTCCTTTTCATGTCTTACATCCCCCCCTTACCCATTTTCATCCACCCACAGACTCAGCAGCTCTGGGGAGAACGCAAAAGCCATCATCCAAAGTGCATCTCTTGGCACAGTCCTGCAGGAGCATTTCCACTCTCAAGGACACATGCAATCTGAAATACTGCTCTTGTGTGGGCACTCTGGCAGCTGCTGCACCATCCAAGTAAAGTGGCAGGTGCTTTCAAAGTCTACTGAGATTTTGCTGGACAGCTGCTACAACAGAAAGCATCTCTTATCTTGGCTAAGTCACCATTTCAAATAAGTACAAGAACCTTTATCTAGTCACTCACTCTCCAGGAGTGGAGCACGTCACTCTGAGTGTAACAAGTTGCCAGCACTGGCAGACTCTTTGTATTTTTGCAGAAACTGAGGTAGATACTAAAGCAAAGAGTCATCAAATAGGTACTAAAGCATCCCTATGGAGGCGCTTCAGTGCAGTAGCTGTATGACCACAGATATCTGTCTGCCAGAGAGAAAAATAAGAACTGTCATAGGATAGGGTTTTTTGATATATTTTTTTCCACTTAGGAACCTAAATGGGAATTTCTGGCTGAGCCCTGTGCAGTGCTGGTGCCAGAGATCCATCAGCGTTGATCTGGAACACTTAGGCCACTGACATTATATAGGAATTTTCAAGGGGCTGAATGTGAGACACTTAGGACTGTTTAGAGATGCTCAGAAACACCCAACCCCAACAGCTGGATGCAGCTCAGTCTTCATCCAAATCAGACTCTGGAAGCATCATTCTTAAATCCCCAACCTCAGCATTGCCTCAGCAACTGTGCTGAGGAGCTCACAAAATGGTACACAATGAAACTAGACAGAGATCTCTGTCAATGTGGCCAAAACTGCCAAGCTGACAGAGAGGGAAGACGCACCGGACAAAAAAAGCAGGGAACTCTGGCTTCTGCCATGCACGTGCTTAAAACAAATACAAAGACCACCTCCCTCTTGCTTTTCTCTTGTACACAAACATGACGGAATCTCTGTGAGAGAGGGGGACTAAATAGAGCAAACAAAAATATGGAAAATAGAGGGGAAAAAAAGTGCAAGGGAAATGGGTCCATACTTACGATCTGAGCTGAAGTCATCTACCAAAATGATCTCCTGGATGAGGCTGGGAGGAGTGCGGTTCAGGACGCTGCAGGGATCCAGAGAGGAAAAAGACAGTCTCTGTGAGTTGCCAAAGTAATGGCAATGGTAGGACTGACACAAGCCTGCTGTGCCATGCGTTACAGCAGGAATAACAAACACCAGTGGCAGAGGTAACCCTGCGCTTGTACCCCTTTTGGTTGTTACTTGTCTTTTGTTCAAAACAGCCATGACACTTGCTGAGACACACCTTCCTTTGGGTGGCTTCCACTGTACCTTGCAGTATCACCAGAGATGTAGTGAGTTTGTGTCTGCAGGACACAGAGGCTTTCGCACACAAGGAAAGGTGATAAGAGGTGATAAGAGCTTCCACCCTCTATAGAGGTTGATATACTCTAATACCATGCAGTTACTTTTTGTCTCTCATTTGTTTAAAATGCTGAAACTAATTCTCTATGACTTTCTTCAAATCCCTCCCTTGGCTTTACAACCACACAGCATACTCCCTCTTTGAGCCTCCTTCAGCAAATGCACAGGCAGGTCCTCACTGCCTCCAATAAGACAGCCAATGTGCTGAAAGTCACTTGCACTTAGGCACCCCACTGAAGAGGTCAGTTATGCAAACTTCAATATTAAAAATCAGAGGTAAACACTGTCCTCATGGTTCTAGCGACCCATCTCATTCCAGTGGAAGTTACTCTTCTGATTTTGAGTGATTTCGAGGAAAGTGTTGGTTAAGTTCTTTGGGTTTTCTTTTTGTTTGTTTGTTTGTTCTATATAGGAAACACAACAAGCATAATCTCATACTCCCAGGAATGACCCACTAAATCTGCAGAGAAAGAAGTCACTGTCTTGCTAACTAGCATCAATGATGGCTTTGCATACAGAGCCAAAGCTTCCTGAGTTTTCTGTTGTCTCACACTGCAAAATCCTGACTGCTCTGCTGTTCAGTATCACATCCCACTCTATTTCAGATGTATGCTGCTTCATACGTCTCAAGAGTATTTGTATTTTGAGCTTATATGTCCCTGGATGTCTGAGCTTGCATTTTTCAACGCTGAACCTCATTTGCTGCTCTTGGCTCATACTTCTCTGGATCCTTTAGCGTTGCATAGCGGGGTGGGAGGTGGGAGACATTCCTCTTTGCATTTATGACTGCAGCTTTTCCCAGCTCAGCCATTATCTGCATATTTTACAGACAAGGTTGCCCTGTGCTGAAATACTTGTCCATGCAAACTCAATGCAAAGCATTAGCGATCCAGAGTGGCTGCGTACTGCAGCGTAACAGCTGTAAAATGGGATTCTAATTCTTCTCCCACTACCTCGACTACTAGTGCTGCTCACATTTTCTCCACAAGTTTCAGGTCTTCCAAGTTAACATGACTGGCAAAAAAGCCAACACTTTGTTCTCCCTTCCTCAGTTGTCCACTGATCCCCCAGCAGAGGAAACATTCTTGAAGAGTTCACAGCTTCCTATTCAATGCCTAGTTTTGCTCTAAGCTCTGCAATAATTTGCTGTGGATCCTTGGGAAAGGTACTTTATCTTCTTTGCACTTCACCTTGCTTGTTTTTTAACAACCAACACAGTAATCCTACTATTTCCCTTCAGTGAGGCGCCGAGACTGGCATGACAATCAAGTACTCTTGGGAACAAAGTGTATTATTAGGATTCCAAAATCCAAAATCCAAATGACAATTGCCTTTTACAGCAGAAACACAGACTTCTACCCTCATCTCAGAGATACCTTACAACCTTCGTCCTTCCTCACAGCTTTGTTGTTCTTTCAATATCAGTGTCCTGACTCAGTCCTACGACAACAAATCAGCAACTGCCAATAGCTTTTTCTTCTGCTGATCTGTCTATCCCTCATCAGTTCACAAATACTCTTGTTTATTCCATATGTTAGCAGAGAACCATCTCTTTTTTTCTTGTGCTCTAAAAGTGTCTCTTCTTTCACCATTATTTAAATTATCATCATAATGAGTTACAATACCAAAGGTCTAGCATTGCATCAGCACCCTTTACGCATAATTTATACAGGCTGCCTGCACAGGCACTGAACCACCAACAGTTGTTCAAGACCCTTGTCTTAAAGCCTGACCATTCACCTTTGCATTTACAAAGACAAACAGTACCTGCAATACTGACCGAAATTAGAAATAAATAGAAAGAAAGGGCAGTTAATCTTCCCTTCTACAAAAATCATCACTGCAACACACCTGATGGTATCACTTAACAACTAATCAGGCAGAGACACCAATTATTCAAAATGGCTTTTGAATGACAGTTATTTCCAAGAAGAACAGGATGCCAGGCAAGTAACTGGTTTGCAAGTGACAGCTACGTCCTGCCAAGGAAAAGATCAAGCAGCCATGCAGCTCTTGATGGACTCGCAGCACCAGCAGGACCAAGGCTGTCAGCAATGATCCATTTGTTATGGAACATTCACAGGTCCTGGAGGATAGCCCATTTCCCACTTCCTTCCCTACGAACCTTCTTAGTCACTTGCTGAATATTTTTAAGCAGTTTTCTTCCTTTAGGCTGAAAACTAACCAAAGTTCATCCGAAGGGCTCTCCACATTGGATCAGTGGGATTTAGGGCAGCATGGCCTATTCATGCTTGGGCCTGGTCCCTATGGCATCCACGTTTCAAGATCTTTGCTGGGGGCTCTGGGTTGCAGAAGACCACATCTGAGAGACTGGCGAGGCCACTTCTTAAGTGCTATGTCCAATTCTGGGCTTCACAGGACAAGAAAAACAAGGACATGCTGAAGCAGGTCTAGTAAAGAACCAAGTAAGATGATTTAAGGACTGGAGCATCATATGCGTGAAGCGAGGCTGAAAGAGCTGGGATTGTTTAGCCTTGAAAACAGAAGGCTCAGAGATGTTGCACTGTCTCTGTCCTTGGAGATACTCAAAACTGACTGGACACAGACGTGAGCAACCTACTCAAGCTGATCCTTCTTGGAGCAAGCCTGGCCTGTTAATGCATTGGCAATGCTCATCTGCTCGTTAGTACATATCACCCCCATAGGACCTGGATATCAGTTCCTCTCTTTATGGGTTACTGCTGTTCTGAATGTCATCTTCTCTACATTTTAATTATCATAGCATCTGGCTATTTGATTGACTGCCTTGAGATCTTTCTTGAGGATCACACTACTACAGCTTCTGAGCACCTAGCCATTTATTATCTGACCTATGATGTAATCAGCAGAAATCTCCTGCTGTTGCCCTAGCAGCACTGTAGTTCCAAACAAATCTGCTCATTTTCTGAACAGTGGCTCCACAGAACTAATTTTATGGTTCAAGAGAAAAGGAAACGGTAAGAGGTAAAAAGACAGAATGTGTTAATGCAATATATGCAGACCTCTGGAAACACAGCAGCACCAAGCCAGGCAGACAGAAACCCAGCCTTCCAGCCATAAGACTGACTTGAACAAGCCTGTTATTTATTCACAAAGCACATTCCTCTAAGCCCACAGGACCTGACGAGAAGTTAAGATGATGAATAATGCATTCCTGCTAGTGATACGATGAGTTCAACCTTCTACCTGGACAATTCACTCTCCTTTCAGCCTTCACAATCTGTTCCTGGACCTGCTTGCAGGCTTCAGGGACCATCTGTGCAAATGCTTGATAAGTCAGAGGGCAAAGGACATATTTTATGTAAAATTAAAAAAGGAAAAGAGCCTCCCTAGGTTCTGCAGGGGTGATGGGGAGGGGAAAGAGCAGCTGTAGCACTGCTCTGTGGTGCTGGTAATTGCATGGTCCCATCTGCTTGGGGATGCTGCCAGGCCCTATGCCACCTATGTAACTGGTCAGATTTGGCCACTGCTGATACTCAGAAACGAGGAGCCACTAGTACAAAAGAGCAAGCAAATCTTGCTTGCCTAACCACTGCAAATGTCTACACCCACCAGTGGTGGCCTTCCAGGCACGGCGGTTTGGGCCCAGCACCCTGTGCTGAACTCACCTCTTCACTGTACGGAGCAGGGTGGAGCGAGCCTCGTTGTGGAAGGTGATGATGAGGCTGGTAGCTGGCAGGTCTGGATCGTAGCGTACAGAGGTGCACCTGCAACACCAAAGAGCAGAAGTGTGAGCCCAACATTGTCTACCAGCACCTGCTGGGGCAATGCATCTAGAATATCTGTAAGAGAAGAGAATAATATGCTAAAACCAGAAACAGCACAGTGGAGATGCAGCAAGGGAGCTCAGAACACTAGTACTGCAGCTGGCAAGGGAAAATAATTCCTCTTATCTTCTTATCTGACTTTGTAATGTTAGGTATGTATATTCATTCACATGCTCAAAATCAAGAACTACCTCAGAATCAGCTTGCACCAGGGCTGCTTATACCCTGTGGACAACAAAGATTCTTGGAGGAGAGCAACTCATGAATATGAACCCCGGATCCAATTCTGGCAGACACTAGAAATGGCAGATTTGGGCTGATCTGCTCCTCCGGAATGCTGCCACCTTAACTTCCAGCCCAGATCAGGCAGCAGTCAGTCTTCACTGATTTCCTGCCTGGCAAAGAACCTGCACCTGAAACTGTGGCCTGGTGTTTTTAACTACTTAAGACCGTGCTTAGACTGAATACATCACTAGAAGGAATATAATTCATTTCTTATAGCCACTACTTGTACTCCTACATTTAGTTACTATTTTTTTCATGGCTATTGCAAAATTGTTGACCATTTTTATCACCACCTTCAATCCTACTGGTTTACAACTATTCTAAATTACTACTATTTTTCATTGCAATATTTTATTAAGATGACTACTTCTTACAGCAATTTTCAAACATACAAAAAAGCTTTGAAAAGACTAAAGTGAAAAACATGCGATCAGACAAGAGACATACCTCACCTATTACTGTTTCAAAATAAATCCATGATGTAATGAATGTAAAATGTATTAAGTCATCAGGAAGTGGAAAAACAAAAGAGAGAGGTGTATGTGTTACTTGAGAGAGACCTTCTAAGATCTCAGCATTATTACAGCATCACAGAGGACAAGGATAAAGTTTGTGCTTGAAAGTGGGGTCTCCCTTTGCTTTGGATCAGAAAACAGCTACATGCTAGCTTAGAAGCAGCTTGTAGGATGTGTTGATTTCTCAAACCACATCCAACTTGTATCAGCTGAAAAAAGTCCTCACCCTAAATTGCCATCACATCAGCCATTCCAATATTGCTGCAAGGCAAGGTACTCAAAAACTCCCTAATTTCCAAACTGACCTCCCTGCAGAACAGAGGAACACGGTAATAGGTTTATCTGCCCTGATCATACACTGCTTAGGGACTCCCCATTGCTTAAGGGAACGTTTGCAAAGCTGGGGCCTGAAGCGGCCATACGTTTCCATGGAGCAGCATATATGTTTGTCTTCAGGCTGAAGTGCACAGACAGGGCTTTTCACAAAAAGCGTGCTCTGCATGATACCACAGATCATAGATCAAAATAAATAATTCCTCTTTGAAGGAAGCTGTTTTTAGGCTAGAACATGACAGCAGATTAACAGAAAACAGCAATCCTGCATGGCAGGGAGATCTGTCAGCAAGGGAGGACATGCACTGCTGCCTCTGAGTCACTAGCAAGCCAATCCCTAGCACTAGATTGGGGAACGGGACCACAAGACTTTCATCTCACAACCACGGTTCCAACCGCTTACATTCACAAAGCACCCTGATGGCTGTCAGTGCTGGCAAACTCACAAAGCTCCATTTCTCCTGACATCCCTTTCGCAGTTTCAGTCAAGTTAGATGCCTGGCTTCCCTTCCCCAGAAGCTTTGCAACACTGGGTCCAGGTTCCAGCCCAGATCATCATTTCAGGCATGGTTACTCTGCTTCTATTTTTTCTGCTTTGAAGTAGGCTGTTTTGCACTATCCTATCCCTATCAAACCTATCATCTTCAAGGTACAACGTTATCTTTCTGTACTGAAGAAGGTACAAAATAATTACCTGGGCACTATTAGTAACTTACGGATGAGTTTAATCAGCAGAATAAATTCACCCCCAGTGAAACAAGGACAGAACAACCAGCACTTTGCAAGCCATGAAATATTCACTGTATGAAGATGAAAATCATGTTATTTTCATCCCCACCTCAGCACTTTTCATCCAAAATGTAACACTCTGGCTGGAAAGAACACACAAAATGAGTTCAGACAGCCAGGGCACACAGCAGGTGAGAAAAACCAAAGTAAAGCAATGTTGCAACAGCTGTGTACCTTGCAGCCAGGACAGAGGCTCACTGAGAAGCCAAGAGTGTAGAGGCAGTTATACAAAAAAAAAACAGCTGGCAGTTGAGCAATTTAAGCTGCAATGGAGGGGCTATGCTGAAACCCAAAAGCTGAAATAACAGGATAGTGCTCAGACCTAGGAGAAGATATACTAGAAAAGCAACAAGCTGGGCTGGGACTGAATGTGCATCGAGACCTTTGCAGATTAACCATGAAACAAAGTGAAGCAACAAACAGACCCTGGTGAAGAAAAGTTAAAGGCATCCTTTGTTAACACTGCAGAACAACACAGCGTGGCACTGGACTGCCCACAGCAAGCAGCAGCCATGGTGTGGAGCAAGGGCTGCACAGTACCTGTAGTGCCTGGTGTCCCGTATGGGCCGGTCGCTGCTGAGTTTGTCGCTCTCTAGCTGATTAAAAGCATGCTGGCGGTAGGGGTCTTCTCCAGCCTTCAGCAGCTTTGAGGACAAATAAGCCTTTTCATCAAAAGCCCTCCGGCTGTTCTTCTCTCCTTGGGGAGCCCTTGTCATCTGGAGCAGAGATAAGCATCAGAGCGTCAGGGAGAGCAGCTGATCCACGTTTAGACACATGTAACACGTTTGGATGCAAACACTACGGGCTACAGGAGGCTGTTTGCCACGTATCTGCAAGTAGCTCGGGTATGGCAGGAAGCAAGACAGGCAAGAGCTTGGAAAGGTAAGCAGGAAACCCTCACAGATGTAATGTTATAATTGCCTTCCCTGAGGAAAATTGCAGGCCTCACTATCCTCACTGACTCAGCTTCAGCTGAAATCTGCTTTCCTGATAGTGCAGACAGAGCCAAATTCTCTGCAGCACTTGTTACACAGAACGTGCGAGACTGCAGGCATTTGGAAACCCTTCCAGACTGCACGGGCTTGAGAACAACCTCCAGCCAGTATGGCTGAAACACAGTACTTTGAGGAAAATTTTCAGCCTTTCATCATTCACTACTGCTTATGAACACAGATGGAGCTGATTTAACAGGTTTGCCCCCTAAGCCTTGCTCAACTTTGTTCAGTCTCACGGAAGTCCATGATAAAGCTGGAAACTGCGTATGACCATCCCCAGTCCCACACAGGAGCTAAAACAACAGGGCTATCCCTCTCCACTCCCTAAAGGCTTCTTAATTTCCTTTCCCTGGTCAGGGATTCAACACAACGCCAACACTCGCAGACCATCTCATAGGGTCACTGCCTCTGCAAGGGCTCCTCTGCAGTGTGGACAACCCAAAGAGACCTTAATGGTTGAGCAAGATGATGGCAAACAAAATGCAGTGTACGCAAGTGCAAGGTAACACATATTAGAAGAAACAAATTAAACTACTCACACACTCTGATGGACCGCAAACTAAATGTGACCACATGCATTACGGATCTGAGCATCCCCATGGACAGCTCAGTGAAACCTCAGCACTTAGTGTGCAGAGGTGGAAAATAGGACAAAAAGTAGAATCACTATCCTGTGTTGGAAGGGATCCACAATGATCACTGAGTCCAACTCCTGGGTCCCCAAAGGATCACACAAAAAATCAGACCATGTGTCTGAGAGCATTGTCCAAATGCTTTTGAGAGCAAACGTCTAGACTTAGAACAGGACGGAGAAAACAAACTACCATGAATGCTGCAATACAAAATCAGGGACAGCTCGGCAGTCATGGCCATAGCACAGTTTTTGTCAACCCAGTCTGTGGAAGTACATTTTTGGAGGATGAAGATAAACTAAAGGTTTTAACTATTCAGTTTGGAGAGAAAATGAATGAAATGACGGAGAGGAAAAAGGAAGAAGACCCATCAAGTTATGCCTACTATAGCCAAGTCAGCCTGATGCTCAGATCTCCCTTTCTGACCATATAAGAAAGGAAAAAACATCTTGGCATAGGAAATAAAGCTACACTATTTTCAATACCCAGAAACTTTCTCAAACACAGCATGCTCAAGCTGCTGCACATGGATTTACCCAGCTCGGGTTCAGGCACTTTTGGCAGACAATCTGCCTCTCTTCCACCCTGCAGGCACCTCAGCGGGGATGCCAGCCCCTGCCTCCCCTGCTTCTTAGACTTTCCCTGAGGTTGTATTGTCAGTACAAGGAAAAAACAGCTATTTCGGTTCCTTTAAAAGCTGAAATGATTTCCTCCTCTAATTTATATCTGAAGTTATGTCAATCAGAGCTTCCTTTCTTTCTCATCCTACAAAACAACACTGTTGCATGGCAAAATCCCAGCTAATCCTGTGCCTTTAAATATTTTGCAGTCACTCACTCACCCTTTGCTACTTATCTCTGTCTCCCCAAGCCCTGGAAAAGCAACAGCTGGGTTTGGTTTATATTGCCCCAAACACTGTGCAAGGCACTGGAAGCAGCATCAAGCCTGCGGGAGCCATCCTGTCAGGGCACTGCGACGGCAGAGGGACAGGGCCTGACCCCATCCCTCCACCACAGCCAGGGGCCCCGGGGCAGCCTCAGCCCCAGGAACCTTCCCTGGGGACCAGACAAGGCCTGGGGACGTGGGCCCAGCTCTGTGGGGTCTGTGGCCAGGCTGAGCTGTGGGGAGCTGCGGCCTCGCTGGGGCTGGTGGCCCTGGGGCTGCCGTGGGCCATACATAAAGAGCACTAGGAATTAATTATCAGTTAAGAACACGTCTCATTTTTAACTTGCCTGGTATCTCTTCATGCTCTCTTTAACATGGAAGAAGGAGGATTCAGGGGATGATAGCTCGGGCAGCCTGGCTTCAGGAAAATGCTGCAAGGAGTAATCAAATGGCCGATGCGTGCGCACCGGGAAGGGAAGAGGGTAATAAATAGCAGCCAGCTGAGATGTGACAGGACCACATCATGTCAGACCAAGATAATTTGCTCCTGTGATGGAGTCATCAGTCTTAGGGGTGTGGAAAAGCAGTAGATGTGACACATCATGACTTTGGTAAGGCTTTTGATACAGGCTTATAAGATATCATTAGTAAGCTGGAGAAATAATAGCCTAGATTAAAACTAGAGGAGAATGGGTTGAAACCGACTGGAAAGCTGCTGTCAGAGCAGGATTACCAAGCGTTCACTGACAGAGCTGAGGGGCTATGGCGAGGGCAGGTTTTAGGGGTGCTGGATCCAGGGCAATTAAATGGCTTGGATCTTGAGACTAACAATTTTTATCAAAGCCCAAGGAAATCCAGCAAAAGGTGTCAGAGACATTGGGGAGCCGAATTAGAATTTAAAATTATCTCAATGCATGTAAAAAAAGTATCTGAAAACAATACCTGTAATTCAATAAAGGCACTCAAACCTCTGGAGTTCAGCAGGACTGAACTAATACAAAAAACCTGAGGAAACACCATGGTAGCAGTTCCTCAGAAAAGCCACAGACATTACAACTCATTGCAAACAACACAAAAGCAAAGCCTGATAAACAGAGGAGAGTAAACACCATTCTCAGTGGTGTCCACACAGCTACATAAAAGCCCAGCAAAGTGACTATAGAGCTTATTTTTAAAGGACTGACTTGACTTGCTTTATCAGATTCCTTCCCTAGAACACAGCTGTTTGACTACAGGACATTCATCACTGTTAATTCAAAACATATTTAACAGGAACAGCACCGATTCTCCATGAAACTGTACTCAGTTCCCCCACAAACTCCTCTGAGGTGGGCAGACTGGCAGCAACCCCCTCCTTCCTCTCCCTTTGCATTAACACCTCTCACGAGAGGAGAAAGTCAACGTAAGCATGTATGGGCTTTAGGCACATTAAAGGCACAGTGTGTACAGCTGAGTTCAGAGGTAAGGTTTTTACCAAATCAACAGGATAGCTCGTTGCCGTAACCTATATGGCTAGACACTTCTTGAGGCTGGAACTACAATTGGGAGTTACAGGAGCAGAAGAGCCCAGTTCCTTTTGATTGATGTGCTATGACAGACCCCAAAAAATTGCTACGTGAAAGCAGAAAAAGATTAATAGGCACTGGAAATTTGAGTGTCTAGACTAGGGATTAGCAAAGTAGTTTGCACAAACTAAGGTTTGACCCAAACATTACTGTGACTTCCAACACAATTCACGCACCAAAATTTTAGGAAATACTGTTAGCCTTTTAATCTCATTTTACCATTTCTCTTTTGCACATATGTTCCTCCCTTTAGTGACAGGATGGACTGAGCTACTCTTCTGGATGTTGAAAGCACATCATTATGTGTGTTTTGACATGGATCGAGGGACCAGCAACTGTTTAAGTAGAAAAATTAATGCCGTAAACAGGGGATTAAGGGAAAGGAATTAATGCCATGCACATCCGTGAAAATGTGAGGGCCTCATTTCTCAACTAGGACAGTGCTATAGCTCTAGGCCTGATCACTCGTAAGACAGCAAGACTGTAATACACAGCACCATTCACCTCTGCCCATCATCTGCCACCAGACACAGACACACCAATTCCAACACTGAGAAAACAGCCACTAAAACCAGAGCAGTTTGGGAACTTAGAGTCCCAAGATGTTTTTTTTTGGCTTGACCAAACTCAAAAAGAGAAAATGTATTCCAGGGGCCAGAAGGAATCACTATTCAACGGGGGTAAGGTATGCAAAACTCTCAGATGTAAGTGTAATTAATAATTTGCAGTTGAGGTTAGATTCACACCAATTTTATGACAGGATACGGACTGCATACAGACAGGGCAGGACTGGGAGCTGCAGCAGTTCCCAGTAAATTCCCAGGAGAATCCCACTTGCTGGGGAGCATGGTACTGTCAGTCAGTGGGCTGAATATACGAGCTCGAATGCCTTTTGCCAATGGCAATTGTTTTAGAGGGGGTATCATGTTCCCAGAGGGGGTTTAGGAATCCCAGCGTGCACTTAGCTCTTATTCCTCATAGAATAACCCATAAACTGCTCTGTTAAATTGCACAAAATACTTTAAGAGAAGAGGCTGTGCCTGACAGCAATAGGCCCTATTTTATTCATGCTTTAACTGTGTAAAGCTTTTTAAATGTGGTTTGGGAACCGTGCTCTTACAGAACTTCTGCTATGAAATGTTAATAAAAGTTACCACAATTAAATAGAACCATCTCTTGTTCTTTGAGAAGCACAGGCGCTGACAGAGGACTCTGAAATTAATTTTGACATTTAGTTTGTATATTGCACAAACCGGAGTAACACAAGGGAGGTAGTAAAGCAACTTGAATTGATCAGCTCCCACACCAGCAATCAATCACAAGAGATTTTCCACTGGCATCAGCGCTGTGCTATCATGAGGCCTGCTGCCAGTTCCAAATGGGGACGGAGAGACCAGTGGTGGGTCCCCAGCAGAGGCTATCAGCTGTTGAGAAGGAAAGCATCCTCAAGCATCTGGCCTGAAAAGGTAGAAACCCTGTATGATGCAAGAAAGGCGAAGCAACTATTTTCCTGTGTTTGGTTTCCACAGCAACCTTCTCCCCACACCCATCACTTTTTGGACACCACTCTCAGAGCTTCCTCCAAGAGACACAGAAGACGGCAAGGTGTTTTCCATGTTGTTGCCTACAGCCTGGAAGC